GCTATGCCCAAGATTACCATCCGAGTTGCCGTCGGGGAAGTGGCTCAAATAGCCTCGGCTATCACTTCCTTTTGACGGCCGTGATGGTCAAGCGGATTAAGGCGCCCTGTAGTTACCAGTTGCGTTGCTTCTGGGAGTATGGGTTCGAGTCACTTCTGGGGTGTGAGTTTTCATTCGCATATAGTCCTGGGGACCATTCAGGCTTGTTCGCATTTGTGTTCCTCACGTGTGCCCCAAAGAATGAGGTGATTTGGTGAAATGCTATGCCCAAGATTACCATCCGAGTTGCCGTCGGGGAAGTGGCTCAAATAGCCTCGGCTATCACTTCCTTTTGACGGCCGTGATGGTCAAGCGGATTAAGGCGCCCTGTAGTTACCAGTTGCGTTGCTTCTGGGAGTATGGGTTCGAGTCACTTCTGGGGTGTGAGTTTTCATTCGCATATAGTCCTGGGGACCATTCAGGCTTGTTCGCATTTGTGTTCCTCACGTGTGCCCCAAAGAATGAGGTGATTTGGTGAAATGCTATGCCCAAGATTACCATCCGAGTTGCCGTCGGGGAAGTGGCTCAAATAGCCTCGGCTATCACTTCCTTTTGACGGCCGTGATGGTCAAGCGGATTAAGGCGCCCTGTAGTTACCAGTTGCGTTGCTTCTGGGAGTATGGGTTCGAGTCACTTCTGGGGTGTGAGTTTTCATTCATATATATATATATATATATATATATATATATATATATATATATATATATATATATATATATATATATTATTAAATATGACCGAAAAAGTAAGATTAATAATTTTAATTCTAAGTCGTCACATCAACAATGGGTTCGAGATCGACCACAAGTACAGGTTCTAAATTAAGCAACTGACATATGTGGAGAGCTAGTGTCACAATTTATATGTCGTCCTGCACACCGTCCCCCATCTCCAGTGGGCAGCGGTGGATAGGTTACAATCACTTAGTTACTACCTACAGTTAGCAAACTGGGGATATTTGGCTAAAATTTCTGGTAGCAGATCATTTTGAATGAAATATTTACACATCGCTGGAACATTGGTTATAGAATTGTCTCTAAATTCACGTATCTTTTCGCACTCCATCACATAGTGACGGAGGGTGTGCGAATAATTTTGTTGACACAATTTACATTTGGTCAGGTCTACACCAGCAGATAATGAGAATTCCCAGAGATACTTGTAACCAAGTCTAAGCCGAGCGAAGAGACATGGGAGATTTTACATAAGTACAGTACATGGTAGTTTAAGTAGCGAACGCATGTCAACGAATAACAAGTATATATAACAAAACTATTGTTCTATGAAGTCGATTTAACTTCCAAACATATATTTTTTAATAAATGTTAAATGTTTTCTGGCTAGTTATGTTAGATTTTATTAAAAATACGTATTCTACTTGTTAACATTATTATTTAAATTTGTGATAATTTGTGCAGAGAAGTGCGACAACTGGATATGCCAACAAACACTTTCCAAACAACGATATATCTTGGATAAGTCCCTCCACAACATTGACGTTTGGACCGTCGACTTCCTTTGATGCCACTTATTTACTTATTTCATAATGAAATTATATTAGTTTGGAGTAAATATATGTTTTCTCATGTTCTGCATTCAGCACCCACATTATAGTGAGTAAATATACCATATTACTTCATTACTTAAATAATACTAAGAGGGTTTGAGTAGCTTTGGGTCTTTAGTGGACAGAATCTCCAATAGATGGGGCGAGAGTCGCCTCATCTCTCTCGCCCGGGCGAAACTTAATTTAAAAAACTTAAGTCGAAACTTAATTTAAAATTGATATATCTTTGTCCTCCAACATGATATATTTCATTTGGTGCAATCATACTAATGTTCATATCTGGGTCTTTCTAGAGGCATATAAGATTTTAGGTTTTATTAGCGTATCTTTGTTAATTATACAATATATCGGCAAGTGCGTAGGCGTCTGCACTCCATGCCCGACAAGCTACTGAACGCCACTATAAAAACATATGTATCTTCACTTGAGCTATAAATTTGTCTATTGTAATGTATTTAAAATGAAGCTCATATTTCTATCTTGCTTAAGACATATAAAACATTTGTGTTTATTAACGAATTTACGTGAAATAAACATTGATCTGAGAGAGAGTTGCTCTGTCGTTCAGTCTGTATGGGGTCGGAGCTCCGTAATTTTTAAAATACATGAATCTTCATTAGAACGTTAAATATGTGTATGGTAAGGTGTTTAAAGTGAAGCTTATATCTCTGCCTTTCTTGAGACATATAAAACATATATGTTTATTAACGAATTCACGTGAAATAAACATTGTTCTGAGAGAGAGTTGCTCCGTCGATCGATCTGTCCGGAGTCGGAGCTCGGCTATTATAAAAGTACACGTATCTTCGCTTTAAATTTAAATATGCTCATGTTAAGGTATTTAGAACGAAGCTTATATATCTGTCTTTCTTGTGACATATAAAACTCTTACGTTTATTAAGGAATCTGCGTGAAATAGGCATGGTTCTGAGATGAATGCTGCGGTTTTCGAGCTCGACGAGCGATGAAAACTGCCACTTTTATACAACTACAAATATCTTCGGTTTTACTTAAAATATTTGTCTGGTAGAGGTTTTACATATAGATCGCGTTTCTGTCTTTCTTCTGACTAATAAATAATTTTGGTTTAATCAGTTATCAAGATGTTTTCAACAATATTCTTTCAGCGTTCGTCTTTTCCAACACGGGCGACCCTTTTGAAAACGCGATACTTGGGCTAACCCATCCTATACTTGGGTCTGTTTCCATTATGGTTCGGAACAATTATAAGGATACAAGACACTCTGTACATTGACAACTCTTCTCTTCCCTTCCCTTCTCTGATAAGAATTCGCTTTGTTAACAAACAGTAATACAAACAGTGCGTTAAGCACTGTTAATCCTTGAACTAAATGTTTAACACTTCTCTCACCCTGTCCATGGAGGACAGAAGAAAATGTATATATGCTGGTTAGCATTGTAAATGTGTGGCCACGTCTGTGGTAGAAAATAATAATAAAAAAATGGAAGCGCTAATTATAAAAGAATACATACATAGCATATTAGCAATCTTGTAAAGCCACTATCAAATTACAATTAAACTTAAAATTTATGAGTAAACTTTTATTATGACACTGAGGTAGATTCTTACATAAATACTAAATCTGCTGTAATTAGAGAATTATATGATCAAGTGCCATATGTATTTATTCAGACGAGAACAGCAGCAAGCACAAACCAGCGCATGTATGAACGGAAGGGTATGAATGTATAAAATTATCAGTGAACGAAGTTGTTATCAGAAACTGCAGTCGACGACTTGACCAGTCCCCGTAAAATTTGCATTCATAAGAACAATCATGATATAAGATGATGGCAGTGATTACAACGGGGAAGTTATATCGCTTAGGCACATATTTTGAGGTAGCACACGATACAGTCCGAGAGGGAAACACCGGGTATGAAATTAGGTACTTTTTGATGTTACGTTTGAATAATGGGTAGGTTGAATGGTAAAGGGCGTGCTGTAAATGAACAAATTCACAAGGGCCGTGTATCGAGGTGCTGTAGCTGCCCCTGTACCCTCTACATAAACAAACAAGGCACACAAACTGCTAGAAAGATTCTAAATCAACAACAACAACAAGGTTTGTTCTCGTATTTAGTAGTTTGGTGTTGGACTTAAGACCTCTTAACCTCTGTATGGAGGTTATTAAGACCTATCAACCTTGAGAGGTTCTTAAGGCCTATCAACCTCGGGAGGGTTATTAAGGCCTACAAACCTCGGTGGGTTATTAAGGCCTATCAACCTCGGGAGGGTTATTAAGATTCATCAGTCTCGAGGGTTATTAAGTCTTATCGACTTCTGAAGTGCTATTAAGGCCTATCAACTTCTTGGGGGTTATTAAGGTCACCACAATAGCTTGCTGACCAATCCACAAGTGTACTTTACTCCTGAACATAATCCAGGACTAAAATAATGGCTAGATTCTACAAATTGGAGAAAATTGGTTTCCCATTGTTGGAGAAATAAAGCGTATTAAGATTATTAAGGTCCCACTAGACCAACTACTGATCTTATCCTGGATGCAATCCACAACAGCACACACCAGTTGCATAACTCCTGAGTAACTATTTACTGCAAGATGAATAAATGCATCAGGTGAATGGACAACATGAATTATTATAATCTTTGACTATGAAGTCTTAAAAAGTATCATTGAATGTGAACTCAGATGAATTTGAACAGTTTTTTTAAACTGAACAGAACAGAACAATTTGAACAATTTCTGCCCGAAACGCTTTGTGTAATAGTGGCTTTAGGCATTGTATGTACTAGCTCTATCTATAAATCCATCAACTTTTGTATCTTACCTTGTATGTATGTACCTTACCTGAATAAAAATTTACTTTATTTAAATTTATTTTAGTGGAAGAGTCTAAACAATAACTAGCAGAATCACATGTATTTGGTAAGTAACAAAATCAGTTGAGGGGGTTCTGGGAGTTCTTCTTCTCCCCAAGCCCGGCCCAGGGCCAGACTTGACTTGTGAGAGTTTGATCCACCAGGCTGTTGCTTGGAGTAGCCCGCAGGCCCACATACCCAACACAGCCCAGCTTGTCCGGCACTCCTTGAAGGAAATAATCTAGTTTCCTCTTGAAGATGTCCACGGTTGTTCCTGTAATATTTCTGATGCTCGCTGGTAGGACGTTGAACAACCATGGACCTCTGATGTTCATACAGTGTTCTCTGATTGTGCCCATGGCACCTGTGCTCTCACTGGTTCTCTTCTGCATTTTCTTCCATGTCGTTCACTCCAGTACGTTGTTATTTTACTGTGCAAATTTGGGACCTGTCCCTCCAGTATTTTCCATGTGTATATTATTTGGTATCTCTCTCATCTCCTTTCTAGTGAGTACATTTGGAGAGCTTTGAGACGATCCCAATAATTTAGGTGCTTAATCTTTTCTATGCGTGCCATATATGTTCTCTGTATTCCCTCAATTTCAGCAATCTCTCCTGCTCTGAAGGGGGAAGTGAGTACTGAGCAGTACTCAAGACGGGACAACACAAGTGATTTGAAGAGTACAACCATTGTGATGGGATCTCTGGACTTGAAGGTTCTCATAATCCTATCATTTTTCTGGCTGACACAATACTTGCTTGGTTATGCTCCCTAAACGTTAAGTCGTCGGACATCATTATTCCCAAATCCTTGACATGCTGTTTTCCTACTATGGGCAGATTCAATTGTGTTTTGTACTCTGTATTATGTTTAAGATCCTCATTTTTGCCGTATCTGAGTACCTGGAATTTATCACCGTTAAACATCATGTTATTTTCTGCTGCCCAATCGAAAACTTTGTTAATATCTGTTTGTAGTTTATCAATGTCTTCAGCAGAGGTAATTTTCATGCTGATTTTTGTATCATATGCAAAGGATGACACGAAGCTGTGACTTGTGTTTTTGTCTATACAGTATCTGATATGAGAATAAGGAACAGCAGTGGTGCAAGGACTGTACCTTGAGGTACAGAGCTTTTAACTGCGCTCGGACTCGATTTTACTTGATTGACTGTTACTCTTTGTGTTCTGTTCGACAGGAAATTGAGTATCCAGCGTCCTACTTTACCAGTTATACCCATTGACCTCATTTTGTGTGCAATCACTCCATGGTCACATTTGTCGAGTGCCTGTGCAAAATCTGTGTATACGACATCCGCGTTATGTTTTTCCTCTAATGCCTCAGTGATTTTGTCATAGTGGTCAAGTAGCTGTGAGAGGCATGATCTTCCTGCTCTAAATCCATGTTGGCCTGGATTGTGGAGGTCATTGGTTTCTATGAATCTAGTGACCTGACTCCTGATCACTCTTTCAAATACTTTTATTATGTGGGATGTTAGTGCAACTGGTCTATAATTCTTTGCCAAGGGTGCTACCACCCTTGTGTAGAGGGGCAATGTCTGCTGCTTTAAGCGCATCTGGTATCTCCCCTGTGTCCAAGCTCTTCCTCCACACTATACTGAGTGCCTGTGCTACTGGCACTTTGCATTTCTTTATAAATATTGAATTCCATGAGTCGGGGTCGAGTGCATGGGCATATTGTCAATTTCTCTTTCAAAATCTGCCACGCTCGTGTTGATATCAGTTATATTTACAGGTGTTTGAGTATCATTCATAAAGAAACAAGTATTTACAATTATCGGTTGTAAGCATCGGTTACAAATATCTCTGGGAATTCTCATTATCTGCCGATGTAGACCTGACCAAATGTAAACTGTGTCAACAAAATTATTTGCACACCCTCCGTCACTCTGTGATGGAGTGCGAAAAGATACGTGAATTTAGAGACAATTCTATAACCAATGTTCCAGCGATGTGTAAATATTTCATTCAAAATGATCTGCTACCAGAAATTTTAGCCAAATATCCCCAGTTTGCAAACTGTAGGTAGTAATTAAGTGATTGTAACCTATTCACCGCTGCCCACTGGATGGGGGGCGGTGTGCAGGACAAACATATAAATTGTGACACTAGCTCTCCACATATGTCAGTTGCTTAATTTAGAAATTGTACTTATGGTCGATCTCGAACCCATTGTTGATGTGACGACTTATATTGAATTTTGTAACTAGCTCATCAAGATTATAACTTGCTTAGCTAAATGAATTGTGGGGTTCAGTCCCTGAGCCCATTATGTGCCTCTGTAACCCTTTCCACTACTGCCCACAAGATGGGTATGGGGTGCATAATAAATGAACTAAACTAAACTGGTGAAAGTTGTCTCGGCTCGAGTATGACTTGGCTACAAGTAACTCTGGCAGTTCAGCTTGTAAGGGTTTTCTATAACATGTTCCTTGTGCTGAGTGTAGGCTGCTCATAACTACGTGGTTCTTGTATCGACTATTGATACAACTCGGTAATGGTAATGTGTTCTCAGACGTAATAACAAAATAAAAACCCACACTTGTGTATTTGTGAAATTTATATAAAGAAATTCTACTAATTCTTTCGCACTCTCCTGAGTGCTTTTCAAAGTCTGAGTATGTGGTTAGGAAGAGACTTTCATTTCAACGTCTAATTGACTAGACATTGAAATGTAAGCCTCGTCCTATACTCAGACTCAGACAAAGCACTCAGGAGAGTGCGAAAGACTTGGTAGAATTTCTTTACATAAATTTAAAAAATATGCAAGTGTGGGTTTTTATCCATTGATACAATATTAATAGAACCGTGGCATTATCACAGAATCTTTATATGTAATAGGACTTAGCCAAGAAAAACTATTTAATTTATTACATAGTATGGTACTGTATTGATAAAAACCACTTAGTTGCTACATCCAAGTTTTATTTAACTCATTTTACTACATTCCTAAAATGACACAAATGCCAATATTACAATTCAGAATGAATAACAAACATATGGCATGTTTCCATGTTTTCATAACATGGAAACAGATGGTCAGTATTATACAGGTACAGTACTTTAACCACTGGGTTGCTCGGCTTCCAAATACGGCACCCCCCCCCCCCCAGTGCGCAGGAAATAAATTCTCTGGAAAAATTTCTTTTGTTTTTTAACCCCTGCACTGCGCACCTGTTTTTGACAAAAATTTCATGGTGCAGTTGTTAAGGACATATTTTTGTTGTTTTTATAAATAGCATATAAAATAAAAAACCTGGTCACGCTCCAACCGCCGACGAGTTGAAGACGGGCCACGCGTTAGCCGGGAGTGAGCGCTCAGACGCCTTCCAGCTACACTCCCAATTCCCGCCCTTTTCAAGCCTTTCTTTCGCAATTTTCTTCCTGGAAGGGCCTTGTTCATGATTACTATCCATCGTGGAGTAAGCGTAGATAGTTTCTAAAGCCGCAGTAAGAAATATAGCCATGGAAAATAGCCGAAATGTTCACACGTTTGAGATGCGAGGGGAGGCGACATTGGTCACAACAGTGGACGAAAACAATGGGCCGACGGCGTGTGCAGAGCCGCCTGCGGGCCACGAGGCGCAACAAAGAAAAAGGGAAGACATCGGCGCGCATTTTAAAACCAGTCCCAAAAAAATCGGATAAAAACCTGATTTTTGGCGATTATTTAAAGTGGATGACGCAATGCTGCGTCATCCCCGGCATTACCGACAGTAAACGAATGACGCAATGCTGCGTCATGCCCGGGCGAAAGTGTTAAGGTGCTTTGCACAGTGCAGTGGCTAAAGTGTCAAACCCCTTCCCTGTTTATGGATATGTAAACAAAAAGTCAAAATTGTACTTACTTTGGCTACTATGGGGTCCGTAAGGTCGCACGTGACGTCATCATTCCCTGGTTGCCCGTGGCGTACGCTCCCAGGGCCAGTATGGTGCCCGGCCCAAGATGTGAGAGTTGCCACGAATATATTTTTGTTCATTTTTTGCACACAGTTCCAAATGCATTTTATTTGTTTTTTGATGCCAGTCCAATGTATAATGAACACGTACACTATATCATGGCAGTAGAACATCCGTAATGTTCGAAGACACTGTGTTACGTGCATGACGTGTGTACATATATCCTGCACATATTTCCAATGTATCATGCTAATTTATTTATATTTACAATCTATTTACACACTTTGCAGTATCACACTATATACACACACCATAAACACACTCAGAACTCCGTGAGTGTGTGATATGCTGTGAAACAGCCAAAGGGGCATAATGGAACCTTGCACTCCACACACCAGGTGCTGATGCATCTTTGCTTTTATTCCCTTCGGGTAGTGTTATTGCATACTATACAGGCACGTTTACCCTTCTCTCGTGATGCTGTGCCTGGCATATACTCAAGCATGTGTACACCAAAATTCTCGTTACCCCTCAGTCTGTCTGGAGCTGCATGTGGCATTGTTGCTTGCACCCTGCGTAGTGCAACAGAGCCCTCCTTGCCATACTCTACTAGGAGTTGTGACACAACACCAACACTGAATGTCCGTATTGACGGTCTCCTGCCTGATTTTACCAGGTACATATTTAAGCAATTGAGTACTGCAATATCCATTAGGTGCAAAAAAGAACTTATTCGTCCACTTCACAGACTTGTGCACACACTCCACTGCACTGAGCATCATGTCACATTTATTGACGAGGCGCATGTTCACGTTGTAGTCTATGACACAGTCTGGTTTATAAATGGGGGAAGCGCGTTTGAAAGTGTAATTTGCCACTGTCCAATATGGAACTGGTGTGAATCATAGTCGGCATATTCACCTCGCGTCTGTCCCTCCACCACACTGAGAGCATATTGTCATACTTGCGCAGCTGGCAATCACCCACTGCTATACCAATGCCAAACACTGGCATTTCCTTCCTGTGGGCCTTCACAGTGCCACATATGCCGGTGTTGTGGGCAAGGAGGTATCTGGTCAACAAGGGGCTGGTGTAATAGTTGTTGGTGAACAATACTGTATATGCCCCTTGTTCAGCAATGGTTCCATCAGGGTTTTTACGATACTGCCAGAGAACCCGTGTAGATCTTGAGCTGGTATGTCGACGTCTGTACCAGAATACAGAATCATATCCATGACATTAGCAGTCTCATGGTCGCACAGCACAAAAAACTTGACTCCAAAACAGTGGCGCTTTTATGGGATGTACAGTACTGCTTGAATGCCAGTCGCCCCTTGAGCAGTACAAGCGATTCGTCAATTACCGCATTCTGCCCAGGTACAAAATAATCATGGAACTTGCCTCTCGTGTCACTGAACACCTTCCGTACCTTCCACAGTCTGTCGTGTCTGTCCTCATTTGCATTATTCTCGAAATGCAGGCACCTGAGAATCAACAGGAACCTATCACACGACATATATTGGTTGAGCACAGGCGATGGAACAAGGCTGTCTTTGCTCCATTAATCCTGGACAACGGCTTTCTCGAAGTGCTTCATCATCATGCTGAGTACGGGAAACACGTACATTTCGTCAATTGTGGTGTCCTTCCATCGCGTGAGGCGTGAGGCAGGTAAAATGTCGGCATCTATGAGGCAGTGAGCGTATCGGTTTATCTCAGTCACAAGATGGGTCATGAATTCGTTGTCGAAATATGCCAGGAAATAGTCTATTTCTGCCATATCATCACCTGTATACAGGAATAATGGTGTAACACCAACATCGGTAGCATCAAATATTGGTATTTGTGGCACACATGTGGCACAATCCTCCCACACAAGTACACCCTGGGGTTTGGTTTTGGTGCCAACACCACGGCCAACACCTCCACGAGCACCAAACACACGGCTACGTTGTCTGGTGCTGGAGCTGTGAGAGCATATATGGTAGGAGAGGAGGCTCGTCTACGTATCGTAGGCCTACCTGATGTAGAGGGGCCACTGTCGTCATTGTCCTGTTGCTGCGAGACACGCTGCCACCTGCTGCAACGTGTTGCTGAGGCAGCAAAACCCCGCCTGGTAACACCCTCGCTGCTCGTACTCGGGTCGTCCACACTACTTGTATCGGAGCCTATATCACTGAAGCCCGAGAAAGATTCATCGCATGTACTATCACTGAATAAACTTGCGTCTGGGGACATACATGGTGGTGGTAATAACAATGTTGACCCAATGCGGCGAGGCACATGTACCGTACACACTCGCTACATCATCCACCTCAGTCTCTCCCTCACTCGTATCAGACCTCTGTGTAAGGTTTTTCTCTGGATCATTGTCTAAGTCATCATCCATAGCACCGCCATCATACAAAAGGTCGCGTATCTCTTCCTCAGAGAGTCGTTTTCCATGACAGCGGGTAACCGTGGAGCGGGAGCTTGTAGACGATATGTCAGACATGGTTGGGGCTTTGAAACTGAAGCTTTCCACGGCCGCGGAGCATTCTGGGATTTTTTCTCAAGATGGCAGACGATCACTGGGGCCCCCAGGCATCCATTTCGTACCCGCATCACTGCGTACCAGTTTTGAATGGAACGTGAAAAATAAAAATACCTGGAGGAGCGTTGCGCGCCCCCCATCGACGGCCTGCAGGTGCGTTGCGCAGTTCAGTGGTTAAAAATGTAATAGAATTTTTTTTTCTTTTTCAGGCAACAAAAACATTGAGCAAATTCCATCTAACATGAAGATGAGATCGAGGTGTTGGAGTATTTGGCAGACACTACAGTTCTGCACATCATCTGTGACCAATAAGGTTATTCCAAAGAATTTAAAGGGGCGAAGCAAAAGCTCACAAGATTGGTTAACCAGACAGCTGAATGATCCATATGTGAAGCTTGCAAAACATAATCAGTTTCGGTTAGTGTTAAAATTAACTGTTGGTTTATTTAAAATTAGAGTATGACTATAGGATCCATCTCAAACTTATATGGTAACATGTCTACTTTGGTCAACTTTATACTAGTGCAGCCAGGATTAATGACCTGCCCAAAATGTTATGCTGCTAGTGGCTTTACAAGAATGTAAGAACTCTTGTATATTTAGATAAATAACAAGAAATAAATACTACATGTGTTATATATTGCCACTTGCTGCCTGAATGTTTTTGTAATAGCATTGAGAGTTTTATAATTATTAGACAAAGTTTATTACAGGCTACTCATTGGAAATAGGCTAATAATAATTCCTGTTGTGAGGACACGAAACATGTACTGTACTTAGGCTTATTGAGGTCCCACTAGGTCAACTAAGACCTTCTTGTGGATGCAACAGTTCAGTCTCAACAGTTTCCTAACTCTCGTATACTGTACCTAATTTTACTATTAGGTAAACAGAGGCTTCAGGTGAAAGGAAATATGCCCAAATGTTTATATCCAGCCCAGGGATTAAGCCTGTTGTCCCCTTGAGTTAAGAATATAGACCAATGATTCACTGACAGTTGCACAACAAGTGGGAGCTGCAGTAAAATAAGGCTAACCAAACCCTACCAATAATCGAGCAAACTTTTGAGTTTAAGGAAAAGAAGGGAGTGATTCAACTCTATAAATCTCTGGTGCTCCCCCAACTTGGATTATTGTATCCAAAGATGAAAAACTCATCTTCAGAAAGACATAGCTGCTTTGGAAAAAGTTCAACACTGGGGAACAAAAGTCATTCCAGAACTAAGTCGACTCTCAACCTATGAACGGTGGACGGCCTTAGAGTTAACATAGAGCAACAGTTTTAAACTCAACAAGCCACACTAGGACAGAAAACAGGAGATTCTTTTTCACCCATAGGGTTATAAGCCCATGGAACTTCTTACCCATCAAAACTGTAAATGCCTAATGCTGTATGTATTGCTGAATTTTAAACTCCAGGTTGAAAAAATTATCAGGACATATGGGGGAAGACCTATGATAAGCATCTAGCTTCCTGTCATCGCCAAGGCCACTAGAGTGTTAGTGGTTCTCAGATAAAATCAGGTGACATATGCTGTACTGTACTGCATATATATACAGTGGCACCTCGACTTACAATTGCCCCTACTTACAATAATTTTGAGTTACGATGTAAATTTCATCGAAAAATGCAACTCGACATCCTATGGTGTCGTCGACTTCCGATATTTGTTGGTACACTTTCGGGTCGACCGAGCGCATGGTTCCCGGTCACGCGGTCTGACCTGCCTCAGTTTACTACAGCTGCCCGCTTAGTGACGATCGCGCCTATAAGAAATTCCGCGTTTGTGGTGATTTTTTGCATTTTGAACATTAAAGTAATTATTATATATCACGCCATGAGTCCTAGGAAAGTCAGTGGTAAGGCTCAACATATGAAAACCCATGTAAGGATGACCATAGAGCAGAAACAAGAGCACAGAATGTCTCTTCCTCAATAAGGAAGAAAATGTGTGCAGCATGGGAAGAATTGCAAACTTTTGCTGAAACGAATCACCCAAATCAAGATGCAGTAGGCCGTTGCCTTAACCTATTCAATGACACTGTGATGCATCATTACAGACAAATGTTAAAACGAAGGGAAAAACAAATGTCTCTTGACAAATTTGTAGTGAGACAAACAAGCACTGAACCACAACCAGTTCCTAGTGGTATTCAGGCAAAACGTAGGAGAGTACCTCAGAGAAAACATCACTGCCTGATCTGATAATGGAAGGGAACTCCCCTTCCAAACAGTAACAACTCTCCTCCTCCCAACTCATCACCATCTTCCGTACGCCATCAAGAGCCCTCCATGAAGGTAAGATCAACTTAGGTACTGTATTGTAGTTAGAAAAAACATTGTATTCAGTATAAAATGTATTTGTATGTTAATATTTTGGAGGGTGGGGAACGGATTAATTCAATTCCCTTTATTTCTTATGGGAAAAATCACTTCGACTTACGATATTTCGAGTTACGATCCGTCTCTGGGAACGGATTAGTATCGTAAGTCGAGGGCCCCATTGTACTGTACTGGTATAAGTCTTCATGTATGTAAGTCAGCTTATACTGCAGTGTATTTTAAATTAAATTAAGACTGTCTCCATATGCCTAGGTTTATATGAGTACAAATTATGAAATGGTTTATTTGAAACACTTCTTAATGTTGCTTGCTTAGAATATTAATTTTATATAATTTCTTTAAATATTGTATAAACATTTTGGGTTCAAAAGTTGTTCATATATTTTCTATTGACTTGAACTTCCATGGGTCTTCAATGCAGTTTAAAAAGTTACAAGGAGAGAAAGAACCTAGTACTGTATATTTAGTCTCCTCATCTTGGGTTGTCATGTTATTGGCAGAGTGAACATTAAGCATAATTTCTTTTTAGTATGACTGGCATGTGTTTACCATTCATGAAAATTTAAAGATACTGAAGAGTGTAATATTTTTAATCTTTCCCAATGGTGTGCTACTGATGCTTAATGAGTCAAACCATTCACAGATATCTAACCTAAAATTGGAGATTCACTTCTCTGTGGAGAGCCCTTCCAGCTCCCCAGAGCTATACTGGGCCGATACGTATGTATTAGACCGTGGCATCAGTCAATTCAATTGGAGTTCTAGCCTACAGGGGACCATGAACCAGAACCTGGCCCCCCTCAGAGAGGCACGAGGAGCAATGGCGTATAGAAACCCCATGTGATTTGGAAGCATTCTATGTCTGCCATTTACCGGGTTAGGCACCCAGAAAGGTAGGCCTCCTGAAACAAACTCCATCTGGTTAAAATTGCTACTGAAAGTCAAACTATCAAGCAGAACTCCACAATCTGACAACAAGCAAACAAGCATGATGTCACAGCAACTGCCGCGCCGCTGTCTGCGCAGCTCCCCCTTCCCCAGGAGGGGAAAAGGAGAGCCCCAGACCCTCATGCCGGCCATCCGACCTCAGTTCTGAGGGTGATGTGTTACATGGCGGTTGTTCGATTCTGGCTCACTTTGTTTGCTCACTCCTGATCCCACGATTTGTGGGTGTTTTAGGTCATTTCCTATGGCCTGCAGTGGCGTTGGGTGGCTCCTCTTCCTTCAGGGGGTTCGGGAATTGCAGGGCAGGCCTCTTCTCCTGCGTTCTGTCAGGTCATCTTGGAGTGAGTACGCTTGGGTGTGGTCGAAATGACCCTATCCCTCAGGTGGGTTTCCCGCCTGTTTCCAGTCCCAAAATGTGACTGTGCGGATCTGAGGTTCATTCTGGACTTGTCCCATCTGATCCCCTGGGTCTTTTGCCCCTCCTTTCGGATGACCACTTTGTCCCAGGTCCGGCTTATTTTAGAGCTGGATGCTTGGATCGTGTCTTTGGATCTCCAGGATACGTTTTGGCACGTCACAATTCATCCAGGATTCAGGGACTGGCTTGGTTTTGTCATACGGTGGCAAGCTTACCGCTTTCGTTGCCTTCTTTTCGGGTTGAATCTGGCGCCTCACATTTTCACAAACCTTACTCGGGTCGTGGTGACTCGCTTGTGTCTGCTAGGGGTTCGTATTCTGGCCTACCTCGACGACTGGCTGGTGTGGGCTCCCAGCCAGTCTGTGTGTCTGCTCACCAGAGATTTGGTTCTTTTCCAGCTTGCCGGGTTTGGGTTCTTGATGAACTGGAGGAAGTCCCATCTGGTTCCCTTCCAGGTTCGGACTTGGCTGGGTCTTGTGTAGGATTCTTGGACTGCTTCCTTGTATCTCTCTCGGTGTCATTGCTACGGCTGCGGTCCCGCCTTTGGCTGTTTCTGGGGGTTTCTGGGTCACTCGTCGGTTGCTCGAGCAGCTGTGTGGGAGTCTGAACTACTGGTTTACCTGCCGGATCGGGTCTGGCTTCAGTGAGTGGCAGTTTTGGTTCCTTCAGGGAAAGAACCCTTTCGCTGCTCTTGCGATTGTTGGGTTCGGCTTCTGGGACCATGCGTCGGCTGCTGCATCGCCAGCTTGGGTTTTTTCGAGGTTCAGTGCCGTGGTGCCTACCCGAGCCCTCACTCAATGTGTACACAGATGCGTCGTCTCTTGGGTGGGGTTTTACCTGCTTGATACCTGCTTGATGGGGTTCTGGGAGTTATTCTACTCCCCAAGCCCGGCCCAATGTCAGGCTTGACTTTTGTGACCAGTGCTCACCAAGCTGCCCAGGGGCAGTGGGGTCCATCCTTCTGTCAGGCTCACTGCACAGTGCAGGAGTTCGCAGCGGTGTGGCTGTCGCTTTGGAGGGTTTGTGTAGCTCCTGGATCGACAATCCGGTTTCATTCGGACTGCGCCCCGGTGATTTATTGCCTAAACTGAGGGGGTTTGATTCGGTCCTTGGCTCTTTGTGGCTAGTCGCTTCGGGTTACTTGTCTGCTGAGTTCTCGGGAGTTTGCCTCTCCTGGTGGTTCACATTCAGAGGAGTGTCCAACGTCCTGGCGGATGGCCTGTCCCGGTTCATTCCCCTTTCCACGAAATGGACGGTTGATGCCGGCTTGTTCAGTTGGCTCTACCAGATCTACAGACGCTCGGAACTGGACCTCTTCTCATCAGCCTGGTCGAGGCATCTCCTGGTATATGTGATGACCTTCCCTGACTAAGAGGCCTTTGGGGTCGATGCCTTTCGGCAAAACTGGTTGAGGGGGGGGTTACCTGTACTTCTTCCCGCTGGTTCAGCTGTTGCTTCAGGTTCTGGCTCAGCCCTTTGGTGGCTGGCCCATCCTTGGTTTCTAGTGCTGCTTGCTCGGTGTCCAAACCCAGGGAATTTTCTGTGGCTCCGCCTCTTTCAGCAGATCGGTCCAGTCTGGTAGGTAGGCAGTCCTTTTGTCATTTTTTGTCTCTTCGTATGTTGTCTTCGGTTTCGGATTGAGTTGTTTTGTTTTTCTCTCTTGACTGTTTCAGGACAGTCATTGTATGCCGAATACTGTCGCTTTGTATAATGCGGCACTGGTGGGAGCCACTCCTGCTTGCATTCGAGGTGGATGTTACTTCCTCTCAGTTTTGTAAGCTGTCTCGTGCGTTGTGTCACATCCGGCCTGCTCGTGTGCTGCCTGAGCTGTCCTGGTCGTTTGGTAGGGTGCTCCCTTTTCTCTCGTCTCCTCGGTTTGTAGTGGCCCCTTCAGTTCAGGATTGTTTTGATAAGGCTCTTTTCTTGTTAGCATTGGCCTGTGCGGGGTCGGGGAGCTTCATGCTCTCCTCTGGTGCAGGGGTTTCTGCTCTTTCGGTCCTGGTGGTTTGTTCATTTGCAGTCGTCTCCTTTTCTGACAAAGAATAAGACTGCTGCTTTCTGGAGGGGTCCTTGGGTTGTTGATGCTTGGTTGGTTTGGCCAGGGCCGCATCATATTTTGTGTCCGGTTGTGACTTTTTGCCGTTACTTGCACGCCACGGCCTCCATGGCTGGGGACGTCCTTTGGGTTGACCTGGTTTCCCTTCTTCCTTGTTCCCCTTCTTCCTTGTTCTAGGGCGCGGGTCTTCCAGGTTGTCCTCAGGATTATTCGGTCCAGCCAGCCTGCAGTCTATCCCCGTGCCCACGACATTCTTAAGTTCGAGGCTTTGGCTGCTGTTTTTGGTAATATGTCCTGGGCTGACATTCGGGCACGGGGCTTTTGGGGGTCGAACAGGGTCTTGGTCGCACGATACCTTGTTCATGTTCCTGACCCTTTTTGGGCGTGTGTAGCCTTTTTATCTTTGGTTAGGTAGCTCTAAGGAGCCGAAGGGGGCTCTCTACTGAAAACCAGCATTGAATGTAATGAAACACCATTTTCTGGGTGCGACCGGAGGCTCCCTGGCATCCTTCCCTCCCTCCCTCCAGTCGGCATTTTTGATATTCAACTGGGGTTGGCTAGCCAGTGCAGGAGGTCTGGGACCCCCCTTCCCCCTCCCGGGGCGGGGGGAATTGCTCAGATAGCAATGCGGCGGCAGTGGTGACGTCTTGCTTGTTTGCCTATTTTCGATTGGGGAGTTCTGTTTGCTAGTTCGGCTTTCGGTTTGCAATTTTTAACCAGCTGTAGTTTGTTTTGGAATTTCTACCTTTCAGGGTGCCTAACCTGGTAGATGGCAGACATAGACTGCTTCCAATTACATGAGGAGTGTCTATGGACCATTGCTCCTCGTGCCTCATCTGAGGGGCCAGAACCTGGCCCCCTATGCTGGTCCCTGGTAGGCCTAGAACTTCATTGATTGACTGTTGCTACGGTCTAATACATGTACATCAGTTCGGTATTGCTTCAGGGAGCTTCCAGGTCTCACTCAGAAAATGGCATTTCATTATACATGTATTCAATGTTTTTTTTATAATTCTCATTGTTGGGTACAAGAAGCTTGTAGTTAAATTTATCAAGGTCCTCTAGGCCAGCTGTTCCTGGATGCAACCCATAGCAATTGCCTAACTCCTAGGTACCTATGTACTGCTAGGTGAGCAGACACATCAGATGAAAGGAAAGATGACCGACTGTTTGTCCTACCTGAGGATTAAACATAGTTCCCTCAGTTGTGAGTTAAGTACGTAGACCACTGTGCTACATGATCCACTATATCACCTGGTCTGTGATAATGACTTCATGTCATTATCACAGACTTATTGTCATTCACATGACAATAAGTCATGTGAATGGTTTTTGACACAAAATACATTGTTTCAACTCTTGCACTTTACATTCATGTTGGAATAATAATGGACCTATTATTCTATATTGTATGTCGCCGATTGTTCTTCACCTATTTTTGCAGGGCTCGTAGTGCTTTCAAGTTGTTAGAGATTACCGAAAAACACAAGATCATAAAGCCTGGACAGGTGGTGCTAGAATGTGGTGCTGCTCCTGGTGCCTGGACTCAGGTAGCTGTCACTGGAACAAATAGTCTACCTCAAGGTTGAGTATTTCGAAACGTGCTATTGGTGGCTCCATTTCGTACTTACCTCAATGTGTTTAGGGGTCGAGCATTAACTGCTGAGCCCCTGAGTCCCAGCTGTTGATTGTTTAATGCAGTGACTCCCTATCCTCCTGTTTCTTGTCATTTCTAAATTTGGAGCAATGTATTAAATTAGATTATAATATTCTTCCCTCTAGTACATTCCATTTGCTCACTACAGCACTCATATTCTTAATAAACTTTTCAAGAATGTATATGTTTAAAAATGTCTGGGCATTCCAAAGTATGAAGTGTTATTTTAGTCATGAAAATGTTTTCCAGACCACAAAATATCCATTAATAAAAATTTTATTGGAAATAAAAATGGCAATGAAATTTAGCATCCATCTCCCTCCATTAGTGTCTTCATGGATGGCTCAAAGTCTTTGTTCAAGATATTGCATTATATTGTATAGAAATTGTTTCCATGGTGATGATAGCATTTATGTTCTTCAGATAAAAATAAGCCTCAAGGAATGGTGGTTGCTGTTGATATTTTAGCCATTTACCCACTGCCTGGGGCAACGTTACTCGGCGGGAAGGACTTCACACAAAAGGAAACACACCAGGAAATACTAAATATACTACAGGGAAGGAAAGTAAGAAATAATGTGTTGCTCTTTATTCATTATACAACATGTATTTATTTGTACATTCTAACACATATTTATTTGTACATTCTAACACATATTTAATCTGTATGGGAATTTAAGTTTTGAGCAGATATTAATATAAATTTAACAATCATTTACACTCATTTGAAGGTAGGTGGTTTAGGGTTCTAGGATATGTCTTTTATCTTTTAATACTGTGTGTGTTTTACCTAAGTGTTTTTACCTAAGTGTAGTTACAGGATGAGAGCTACGCTCGTAGTGTCCCGTCTTCCCAGCACTCTTTGTCATATAACACTTTGAAACTACTGACGGTCTTAGCCTCCACCACCTTCTCACCTAACTTGTTCCAACCGTCTACCACTCTGTTTGCGAAAGGGAATTTTCTTATATTTCTTTGGCATCTGTGTTTAGCTACTTTAAATCTATGACCTCTTGTTCTTAAAGTTCCAGGTCTCAGGAAATCTTCCCTATCGATTTTATCAATTCCTGTTACTATTTTGCTCCCAGGTAAGTATTTACACTGTACTGCTAGGTGAACAGGGGGCATCAGGGTGAAAGAAACTCTGCCCATATGTTTCTGTCTCTGCTGGGAATTGAACCTGGGTCATTAGGACTACGACTCCATAGCGCTGTCCACTCAGCCACGAGGCCTCCTAATTAATTAAATGAGTGTAATTATCTTAGTATAGTTACAGGATGAGAGCTACACTTGTGGTGTCCCATCTTCCGAGCATTCTTTGTCATATAATGTGTTACAGCTACTATGGGCCAGTAACCGGGTTCTTGCTGTTATAACCTATTCTTCTATATCCAATCCCAAGTCGGTAGTAAGCTTTCAAGAACGGGAAGTGGAAAGTAGTAGTATAAAGAATAAAAGGGGTGATAAGCAATACACAATTACCTTCACCAATATAGTAACACCTTCACTATTATATATATTATATTAAACTATTACAGTACTATACGTATGTACAAAGTGTCTCTTTTACGCAGGACACAAATACGTTGGCAGTGTTCATCAATCCCAGTGAATCCACTTGCAGGTACCCGTTGTCCACTTCTAATAGCAAACACCGGCGAGTTCACCTTCAACATGGGCCAGTCCATACCCACTGTATCTTCACGATGTAACAATACCCCACCTCCACTCTCCAGATACACACTGACAGAGGGTTTCAGCCACATGCTGACAGGGGTCTCAAACAGTCACCTACAGTGGTAGCTAACTCCCTGGCAGAAGTCTAGCAGCTTGCTGGCAGCACTTGACAACAGACGCACCGCCGTCATAGCGTAACTCTTACAGGCCAATCCCGGATATGTCGGACCATGCAACACTGCGTACATCAGCAGCTAACACACTGCTCTAATCCGACGGCGGCCACTTAGTCCTCTTCACAAGACCAAGCCAAGAGTTTGTGGACTGCCCAAGGTGAACTGCCCTCCTTAGCTCAATCACCTCCATATGTCACCTCTGTGGACACAAAAACTTCATTAGCCAGATGGACAGTACACTGGGTAACCGTGTACTGGCCGCCACCAGTACACTGGTGGCGGCCGCCTCACACACACCTCGCCGCCGGTAAGTCCGTCTTTTACGTGTCTTTGGTTAGGTAGCTCCAGGGAGCTGGAGGGGCTTCCTATGGAAAACCAATGTTGAAAACATTAGTTTTCTGGAAAACCAGAAAACCCAGAGGCTCCCTGACACCCACCCTCCCCTCTGGTCGGCGGTTTTGTTTTTTGATGCTCGGCCTCCAAACTGAGGTGTGAGTAGCTGGCACGGGGTGGGGGGGTGTCCAGGGCTCCCCCCTTCCCTGGGAGGGGAGGGCTGCGCGGACAAGTGGCATAGATGCGGTGTATGACAATTGCTTGTTTGCCTGTTTCTTTAAGTTTTGGGGAGTTCTGCCTCTCAGTTTGGTCTTCGGTTGCAATTTCTTGCCAAATGGGGTCTGTTTTGTTATGCCTATCTTTCTAGATGCCTAAACCCAGTAGATGGCAGACATGGAATGCTCCCAAACACATGGAGGTTTCCATAGACCATTGCTCCCTTTGCCTCTCTGAGGGGGTCAGGTTCTGGCTCGTGGACTCCAGTAGGCTGAACTCCACTGACTGATGCCCCAGACTAATATAGCATATATCAGTCCGATAGCTCCAGGGAGCCTCCGAGGCTCACCCAGAAAATGGCGTTTCGTTACATTCAATGCTGATTTTTTCAGTAAATATTAATATAACATTATTTTCAACACCCTTACTCATTATTTTCATAAGTTTCCATGCTCGTTTATGCAATACTGTAACCCATTACAGTATCATTATTTTCACGAGCTTCCATTATATTGGCCATAACTTGGTTAACCCTTAACATGCTCGGGGTTTAATATCCTGTCATCCCCACAGGCGCATGTCATTTTGAAAAAAAAAAAAATTATTTTTTCTTCCTAACCTGTTAATTTGTGTTCACTGATCACGGGAAAAATAATAAAAAAATCGTAAGTGGCATATATTGCCCGCTATAGGGCGGGGAAGTCTGGCAAATTATAGGCGCTGACTCAGCGTGCGTCCCAGGCGGTCTGTTGCTCGCAAGCTGTCAGGCCGGAGTTGCCACAAAGAGATAATTACCAAATTATTTCAATGTCTCTGATTGATTTTTCATTCTTTTTTTTGCTGTAATATTATTCAATAGTGTGTAGTTTGATATATTTATATAATAAAATGAGTGAATCATTGCTGTACTCAAAAATATGGTGTGCATATTGTTGATTCAATTATGTTCATCAATCAGTGAACAAATACTTTGTTGGTTATTACATTATAAGCACAGGTTATATATAAGTATCTGCATGTTTTGTTCACTATAACAAACCACTAAGTAGCTATTATGAGTCAAAAAGTAACGAGGAGTGACCGCCGTTTACCAGCCAGCCACTCCCGCCCTCCCTCCAGTCATCTGACTCACCCACATTCTCCTCCCAGAATAATGTTTTTGCTATAATTCACTATATACAGACGTTATATATAAGTATCTACATGTTTTGTTCCCTATAACTGTACATCTAAACTTGTATGGTGAGTAAAGGCGCAAAGATGTAACTACTCACACAGTCAGCTGATCGGCGGCCGCCCTCAAGGCCAGACGCACTAATATTTCTCCTCCAACAATACTGTGTGGTGTTATTACGCTATATACACACATTATATATAAATATCTACCTGTTTTATTCACCATACTTGTACAAATAAACTGGTATGGTGCCCAAAGACCATCGTGGTAACCAGTAAACAACACCGTCGTCTGTACGGTGGCATCGTGCAGACGACGCCACCGCCCTCACCAAAATGGCGGCTCCAAACCTTCTCTTGCTGTTTATACCCTCTATACACACGTTATATATAAGTACTGTATCTACATTTGTGTTCACCATAGCGAACCACTAAGCTGGTATGCTGAGTGCAGTCAATAAAAGGTTGCCACACACAGTCAAAAGACATCGCCACCACCCTCCCTCCCACAGCATTACTCCTCCCTCCATGGCGCACAGCGCTAAATATCACCACAATCCTGCTATTATCAGAACCCTGGTCAGTTTTATCACAGTCAGGGGTCTTTTGTAATAATATCATCGCTACATAATAGCATGAACAAGTATAATTTGGCATTTTTAGGCGATGCTGTGGTCACAAGCTGAACAGCAGTGCTGTTAGCTCATGCTGCGTGCGTCAGGCTTGGTTGCTCTCTCAATACTGAGGCCAATAACACCCGGGAGTTTGGCCCACGATTTTTTTTAAAAATGGCGTCTGTTTACAAGAGCCCTGATGAAGGTGTGGTGAACCACGTGTATCCGCGGGCTGTTTAAATCTTGCGTAGTACTCCAACACATCATATGACGTGATGTGCAGTTGACTGGAACAACGTCCAGCACGTCATATGACGTGATGCGCACTTTAAGGGTTAAGTGTATTTATCTCGCCTCTATATATTTTCATGTATGACCTCATTTACTATTACACAACCCATTCTCCTGTTTATATAGTTCTTTTTATAACTGTGGACCATCGTACATACATAGTACAGTATGTATATACTGTACGTTATCTTGAGATGATTTCGGGGCTTTAGTGTCCCCGCGGCCCGGTCCTCGACCAGGCCTCCACCCCCAGGAAGCAGCCCGTGACAGCTGACTAACTCCCAGGTACCTATTTACTGCTGGGTAACAGGGGCATTCAGGGTGAAAGAAACTTTGCCCATTTGTTTCTGCCTCGTGCGGGAATTGAACCCGCGCCACAGAATTACGAGTCCTGCGCGCTATCCACCAGGCTACGAGGCCCCAGCCAGCCACTCCCGCCCTCCCTCTAGTCATCTGACTCACCCACATTCTCCTCCCACAATAATGACGTAACGGACAGTTAGATACTGTAGTAGAATTTGGTACTATTCACTTTGTAGAGTCTGGAAAAAATAAAGCAAAAAACCCAAACTTAAATATTTCTAGGAGTAAGTATTAAGCCTAGGAAGGCTTAGGGTAGGGTTAAGTTTTTGCAACATCAATACAAAAACCTTTCCAGAGTGTCCAAATTTAATAGTACCGATTTATACTTTCTAATTGTCTTTTTCATCAATATGTGTATGATGGTCCTCAGCATTACAATAAGTACTACCTAAACAGGAGGATGGGCTGTATTATAAGATAATTGTGATGATATATCATTGGCATACCTCCATTTCATTTCACACAATTCACAGTTCTTATCATTTGTTCTCACACAAGTATTGCTTGCTTTTTAAGGAAGAAGCAGTGCTTAACCACTGCACAGAGCACCTGGTTTCAGCAAAAATTTCATAGTGCTAAAAAATGTTTCCAAACTCAACCATTTTCATTTCAAAATACAGTGGAACCTCGAATAACGACATTAATCCGTTCCGGCGCCGTGATCGTCATGTGAAACGGACGTCATACAATACGAATGTCCCCATTGACAGTACAGTACTGTAATGGAAATTAAATTAATCCATTCTACCACCGAAAAACATCAATATGATATTCGATGTTTTAAATAATGGAGCAGCTTACCTTAAATGCACTGAACAAACCTTTATGACATTTGTCTTTCTTCAAATTTGTCCAATATTTTTTGTTCATTTGTCTTATAGCATAAGGTTCATTCGGTGTTCAGCAGGTAGGCTGCTCCATGTTCCTTAAATAAAATAAAAACAAAGAAAACAGTTGAAACAATTTAAAAAATGGACAAATGCCATAAAGGTTCGTTCAGTGTTTGTCGGGTAGGCTGCTCCATTATGACAATCTATCTTTGTTTCAAATGTGTTCCATTTGTTTTGTATTTTTCATTTACGTCTCAGTAATAGAGCAGCCTACCCAACAAACACTGAATGAACCTTTATGGCATTTGTCCGTTTTTCAAATTGTTTCAACTGTTTTTTTTATTTTTTATTTTTTTTTATTTAAGAAACTTGGAGCAGCCTACCTGCTGAATACCGAACAAACCTTTTTGCCATTTGTTGTATTTCAAATATTTTCATTTCTTTCTTTCTACAAAAAGGTCAATGCTTTGCAACATCTCAATGGTCACCCCTTTATATCTCAGCATCATTAGCATCGTTAAACAAAAAAACATAATTTATTTGCATCGTCGGAGGCATCCGAAAATGTGCTAGAAGCAGCACGACCCCACCATGTGGTGTTGTCGTTATTCAAAGGAGCGGTCACCATACGAGACGAATTGTCGGCGATTTGGGCGATCGTTACCCAAACTGCTCGCCATTTGAGGCGATCGTCACTCAAGGTTCTACTATACAAAGAGTGATGAAAATGTTTAAAAACATTAAAATATACCCTAATTAAAAGAAAATAGCACACGTTCAGAGCTCCTCAAGACGCTGTGCGCAGTGCGGTGATTAATTAAAGCCTTTTCATAACATGAGAGAGTTTAGCAACTCTACAAGATACATCGGCTCCATCCATGTTCAGCTTACTAAAAGATTTATCAGGCAGGCAGAATAATCTAACTTTTAGTATAATAAATTTGAGAAACAAAATGTATTAACTAGGTGTGGAGAGTTTGTTTGAAAGAATTAGTGTACAGTACTTTATTTAACTTTACTTCTTGGCACAAGGGCTTCTTAAACAATTTTATTATTGTATTGAGAGGTAATTTAAAATTCAGCTCAAAAACCTCTCAGGATCAATGGAAGAACTTTCAACAGCCACTGGCTTCCTGTCCCCATCATGACAATGGAGATGGATGCCCCTCAGGTAAATTCAGGTAAAATATTTTTTTATGACTGGACGAGGCCACATCCACCTTCTCTGAGAAAACACGAGTTACTAGGGGTATAAGTTAGACAGAAGAACATTTGTGAATATTTTTGGTAAATCCGTAGGTGGATTAGGGAATCGGTACGGCTTCAGCTGTGATTTATTAATTGAATTCCTGTTGTTGGGAATAGGAAACCTGTACTTAGGCTCACTGAGGTCTCCATAGGCCAACCATTGACTGGCCTTCTCCAGGATGAAACCCACAACAGTTGTTTAACTCTTGGGTACCTATTTACTGCTTGGTGAACAGTACCATCAGGTAAAAGGAAACATGCCATGCTAACCATTTCTATCTTGTCTGGGAAATAAACCCGAGTCTTTTGGTTTTGACCTGAGGACTTTGAGCACTTTTTCCAAGAAATTAATTTATGTTATTTAATAAATATTGAATTGTAGATGTCTTCAGAGATAAATATCTTTGAGACAAGTAAAAGAAAACTGCATAAACAGAATTAAAGTTACTGTACATGCGTTTATGTTGCAGATTGATGTAGTGCTTTCCGACATGGCTCCAAATGCTTCAGGCATCAAGGAACTCGACCATGAGAACATCATCACACTTGCATATTCTGCTTTAACATTTGCCATTCAACATTCTGCATTAGATGCCACTTTTCTCTGCAAGGTTAGTACAGTGCAATCCTTATTACTTGCATAGAATATAGAACATTAAACCACAAGGGCTTGTGTTAAGAGTAAATTTGAGGGTGAATATTATATTGATATAAAGATTTGAAGTTATGGCTTACTTCAGGGTTCACATTTGTATGAACATTGTATGAACAAGCACATTGAAACCACAAGAACATGATGCATCTTATGAGAAAATATTGAGGTCCTGTAATGGGACTGAACCTGCATCTCTGGATTTCCCAGGCACTACTGACAGGGGAGTCCAGTCAGTGGTGACACAATTAGCTAAAAGAATCATAATCAGATTCCATCATATGGTTTCAATATTTTCTGATTGATACATCATGTTCTTGTGATTTCATTATATATTAACAGGGGAAAGAGATGAGAAGCATCACTACTGACACCGGAGTGTGAGCGGGTATCACTGATGGAGGCGAGAGATGGGGAACATCACTATTGACACCTGAGTGTGTGTCATTGACTGGAAAGGGAAATTGGGGAAACATCGTTACCAACACATGAGTGTTGGCGGGTGTCTAGTAAAACTTGGAGTGTAGTACCAGATGGTAACTTCTAAATGCCAAGTAATTTTGTTAGTACTTCTGGTCAAGATGCTTTTAGTTGATTGTTGTTCATTCAGTAGTGCTTATGCCTGTGTATCCAGTGATAAAGGTTCAGTCTCATCGTATGGCCTCAATATTTTCTCAGAAACCAAGCATTTTTAAGACTAATTTTCTTCTGTATATTGTGCATTTAGTTATCTTTTTCTACAGATATGGGAAGGCCATAGGGACGGCAAACTTGTGAGTGACATGGAAAAGTTCTACCGAACAGTTAAAGTCGTTAAACCACCATCCAGTAGAAGTGAATCTTCAGAAAAATTTTTGCTTGGTAAAATGTTCTGTGGCTTAGGTACTAAGTAAACATTTAAACACTTTTTTATTGTACTATTTATATTGTATTATATAATAAATACTGTAACTATCAAAATAGGTTTGTGCAATTTTCTAAAGCCTCTCATTTGTAAGAATGCAATTTTTGTGAGTACCACTCTTATATTTAACCTCAAAACATAAAATACTGAAGAAACTGGAAATTGCTTAGAACACGTGTTCCCAGTTGTCATGAACAGGAATCCTTTACATAGGCTTATCAGTATTCCCTTAGGTTTACTGACCTTTCCCAGGATACAACCCACAACAGTTACAGTTACCTAACTCTCAGGTACACTATTTTACTGCCAGGTGGACAAAGGCATCAGGTGAAAATGAAACAAACCCAACTGTGTTTGTCCTGCCCAGGGGCTGAACATGGTCCCTCAAGTGTGGACCAAGAATGTAGACCAATGTGCTACAGGACTTGTGTAGCATGCTATATATACACTATATAAAATGTGTACACTTAACTATTGTACTTGGAGTGGTTTCTGCAAGTTTTTCTCTTCCCCATGACAGGATTTACATAAATCAGGAAGCTTAAAAGGACCATAATGGCATTATATGCACCCTGCTGATACAATCTCTCCTACTGATGTTTCATTCACTCTATACTAAGGTATAATCCATTAGTTACGTTATGTAGAAAAGTATAAAATTAACTGCAGAAAGCAAGAGTCAGTACGTATAGGTAAAATAAAAATTTTCAGGGTCGTTAATATTTGTATAGTTATCACACATTGATGTTACACATTTGTAATTTTGTTTTTACAGTAATAACATTTTAAAAATATTATTAAGAATAGATTATTTTCTTTGTGTACATAGATAAGTAAAAAATGAGGGAAATAATATGAGTACACGTGGGAAAAGTTTATGCCGTATGTATATACTGCAGATATGCATATTATGTCGTATCAGATAGTTAGATTTGTGTAAAATACTGAATTTTGTTGAAACATATTTTTTCTTTTAAGATTTTAACTTGAGATGATAGATATGTTTAATGAGATGTAGCCAGACCATTAGGGTCAAAACAACTGGAACCACTTGGGTATGAAATCCAGCTGGTATTATGGAAACAGAGAGGTAGGTATGTTCAATGCTTGCTTGTGCCTACCTATTAGTGTCTATGGGGGAAGCGAGGGCTAGTTCTTCATGCCCTGCCTACTAGCCTTGTTGTACCGGTTGCATTACAGTTTTGATTGTCATGGTTGTCCAGCTTTATAAACTACACAGTCTTTGGGGGGCAAGATTTAGTGTGGCCAGATTACCAATCAAACAAGGATTTCTATAAAGAATTCATGGTATGCTGACTGGCCAATCAGATAAGTGACTACACACTGTGTTTGAAGTGTTTGACCAGGTAAACACACGAAGAACTATACAATGATTGGGGTGATGGATGACTGGCCAGTCAAGGGGTTGTACACTTGGAATAGCATGTAGCTTACTGGTGAGAAAATTTGTGTCAAGAGCCTCATAGAATGTCAGGTCATGTGGTATTTTAAAGGGCCACACTGGGTTAGCCAGCCAAAATGTTATTACTGTGCTTGCTTGGGGTGTTCGCCTACCAGCACACACAAGGGACTTTTCTTGATGAAACAGCTATTGTCAGACATGTAGTGGTAGTACTCGTAGGATAGGGAGCTGCAGTGACCCATAGGTGGCACCCTGGGGGCCTGCACGTAGTTGTAGCACACGCCATCATTGGCAGGTAAAGTGACGTTGAGGAGATCATAGCTGATTTTTCTATTGGTGCACCTCTCCTCATGTCTGTGGCAAGAAAAGGTATCAGTTGTTTCACATGGCAGTTTTTTTTAAACTAAGACTAGGGTTCGTAAGGGTTGTCAAATGACGTACCTAGTGAAACTGCAAACAAGAGCTGTTATCCTACCTCAACTCATCTGAAGCCTGCTCCTAGAGAGACTCATTTATTTTATGAGAACATACTTTGAAACTATCACATACCGAACTATCATGTAAGGAACCTGGTGAAATTGCAAGCAAGAGCTGTAATCCTACCTCAGCTCAATGGAAACCTACTCCTAGAGACCCATTTATTTCATGAGCCTATTATAAGCTCCAGGGGCATGTCGGTGGAATTATCTGTCGATGATTTCAAGGAACAACATCCCAGTAACCCAGTCTCTGACCAGACTGGTTGGTGTTCTGGTCAACCAGGCTGCTATGCGGCTGCTCGCAGCCTAACGTATGAGTCAGGGCCAGGTTGATCAGGTATCCTTTGAAGGTGTTTGTCAAGTTCTCTCTTGAACATTGCGAGAGTTCGACCAGTTATGCTGGGTGAGAGGTCGGCCAGTAGGGGGAGAGTATTGAAAAGTCTTTGGCCTTTGAGGCTGATCAAGTTCTCTCTCAGCAGCCTATTGCTCCTCTGCTTTTCAATGGGGCTCTTTTGCACATCCTGCCATACCTTCTGGTCTCATGTGATGTTATTTCTATATGCAGATTTGGAACCAGTTTTCTCAGTATTTTCCAAGTGTAAATTACTATGTATCTCTCTTCCCTGCATTCTAGGAAATACAGATTTAACATTTTTATGGGACCCCAATAATTTAGTTGGTTTACTGAGTGGATTCTAAAAGTAAAAGATTTTTGCATGCTTCCAGGTTAGCAATTTCTCCAGGTTTGAATGTGCTGTTAATGTGCAACAAGATTCCATTCTAGAGTGTCTTAAAAAGTACCATGATTGGTGTGGCACCTCTTGCTTGAAAGGGTCTTGTTTCAATGGCTGTTTCTTGTTTTTTGGATGTCTACATCTGACTTGGAGCTCAGGACCCGACAGGCAGTGAGCTGCGTTCCCTCCTCCTCCCAAATGAAGTGACGCTAGTATCGTGAGAATTTGGTTGTTTGTTTACACAGTTTACATATTTTACATAGTTTACATATTTGCCATGCTTATATAAGATCAGATGGAATGATTCTTCAAAAGACATGTATGTTATTTTGTTTTAAAAAGTGTTGAAAGTTGTCAGAATTTCATTGTGATTATTTTTGTTTTCACTGCTGCTCACACGATGGGTATGGGGTGCATAAGTGATCTAAAATATAAAACAAATAAAAATAATAAAACTAACCTGTTTTTCCTATCTCCACTGTGTGGAAAAAATAGGAAATCATTGTAATGAAACAATGATAAAGGTCCTTAAAAGACAATCAATGATTCATCTATCTTCCACATTAGGCAGCATCACATAGAATCAGTGCCGTCACACCCTAGCAAAACATCCACAGCAGCTACATATCACTTTGTATAACTAGATGTAGACTACTTTTGTGATTTGTTGTCTAAAAATATGCAGTAATTGGTCAGTCCGTCTTAATGGGGTATGGTCAAATTTTACACAAGATTTGACAAAGCATGTTTCCTGTTGGTTAAAACTTAATCATGACTAAAGAAAATTCTGCATATATACACTGAGAAGCTGAATACACGTCTGCTTCTGTATTACATCACTCTCCTATCATCACATTTACTTCAATGCGCTTTCCTAACTTCTCAACGATCATCAATGTGATATATTGACCCTGTCTCTCAATGCCTCTCCCCTAACAGTTTTATTCTTTATCTACTCTCCTACATCACAAATGCATCTCATATTGTCCATTTATATCTCTGAGACTCCTAGTCTTAAATGCTCATGCCATAAGTCTTACCTGACAGCCCAATAAGGAGAGCCCACAGGCATGGGAGATCCATCAACCCAGGTCCACCCTAAGGTGTCGTTGATGTAGCGTCCACCTATCCAGAAGTCTGCAGTCACCTCTGTTGAAATTCATTTATAAAAGACATTGCAAGAGGAAATGAAGATGAGGAAAGATGTTGTATTTCTGGGATGCAAAATAAATTTGTTTCTCAAGAATGCACTTGGAAGGAAGCTGTCTACTCTAAGTTCATGGAGGATAAACTATCCGTAAATTACCTAGATAAACTGCCAGCAGAGACTATTTGTTAAACTTTGCCTCTAAACACAAATACCAAGCTAAAGATAAGGAGAGGTCAGGTGAGCAAGATAGTAGAAGAGCACAGCAAACCAGAACTAATTCTATGCATGTCCACCGACAGGAAGGCATGAAACCAAAGAGACAGGGTTCACAATACGCCTGTATTGAGCAGAATGCGAACCAATCTCTCGGCCCTCTTAAGGATAATGTCTAAGAGTTTAAAATATCTCTACACTAATGTCAGAATCCTAGTAAATAAATTTGACACACTGTGTATATATACTGAGGTTGAGAACGTCAACCTCAGTATATATAGTAAAGTTCAGTAAAACTAAGGTACTGTATAAGAAAAGGTAATAGAATGGGGAATGCTATCTTCCATAGTATTACCTACCATTCAGAAAGAACAACAATGAAAGCAAGAGGCATAGTGCTATATATAAAAGAGGATTTAACTGTAACCAACACCGAGGAATTATACAACATAGGATGTTTGCAAATGGCTCAGTATCTGTATAGTTAAATATAATTCCTCAAAATGGCAGCAAACTGATGGAGTATATATTACAGAGCAGACATAGCAACAACAGAGGAAGTTTCAGACTTGCAAGATGTGGTAAAGGCAGCAGCTGACCCACAAACTCTTATAATGGGATTCTAAGCGCAAAACAATAGACTAGGTGAATCTAACATCACAAACAACAGAAGAGGGCATACTTGATAAAATCTTGGTAGGGGAGAAGTTTGATTACAACTGAACAAATCCACAATGGCCGTGACGAGGATTCGAACCTGCGTCCGAAAGCATCCCAGACGCTGCCTTAATCGACTGAGCTACGACATGATCAAAAAGAGTTGAAACCGAAGTTCTATTGAACTTACTGGATCCTGCAACCTCTCCGAGGCACAAACCAGGGTTTTACACAACTCCCCCCATGCACTCGAGCTATGTCAATAGGCCGTTCTCCCTCTTCGCCCTTACTTCATTACACACAGAATCACAATTGCATGATGCATCAAATGCATCACGTAATTGTGATTTCTGTGTGTAATAAAGTTTGATTACATGTGACCATTATATCCTGAGATGGAATACAATTCTAGAAACCTTTATCCAGGAAGTGACCTTTTTTCACTACTTTTGAGAAAACTTAGAAAATGAGTGGAACTGCAAAATATCTCCTGGATAGGGGTAAGAGAAGATCAAGACATTGCAGCAGTGTGGGATAATTTCACTAAGATATAACTGAGCCTTGTACAAAATTACATTTCATGAAGGAAAGGGTTGCAGAAGAGAACCAGATGGCTGATCTGGTAGGGAAATAAATACGGAAAAAGACTCACTTTCACTTCAAGACAATCTAAATAGAGTTTTGAAATGGTCAAAAGATTTGCAGATGCAGTTTAATCCTGACAAATGTAAGGTTTTGATGATTATCATTACCTAGCCAGATCCCTAGCGACAGGGATCTGGGAGTTATGATTGGTAAGAATTTAAAACCAAAAAATCAATGCATAAATGTAATAAGGCAAATAGGACACTGGGATTTATTAATTGAAGCATTAGTAATGAGACACCTGATGTTCTTCAGCTCTATCTTGCTCTGGTTAGGCCCCATTTAGATTATGCCGTTCATACGGCATAATATGTTGGTCGTTGGGCGTCGGCTCCTCCCCGGGCGTGGTTCCTTGTCCCTTGAGTCCGTTGGTTCCATCCTGTTGGTGGGTGCTCTTCTCTGTTCTTCCCCCCTTTTTCTTGGGACGGGACTTCTCTGAGATGTTCCCCTTTTCTTGGGGTACTGCATGACTTTTGGTCTCGGGTGCAACTGTGCCTTTGTGCCATCGTGACTTTGCATGCTTCTGTGTGTTCTTGAATGTTCGGGAAGATTTGTCGCTACTTCCCGTATTATTGGAACGTCTGTCGTCTTTCGGTGTAGCTTCCCTCCGGTCCTTTTTTAGGGCTTGTTGGTCCTCTTCCGTGCTTATTCAGGGTTTTCGGTCCTATCTCGTTCTATTGTTAATGTTTCTTCTCTCAGTGCTCTGTCTCGGTACTGCTTGTTTTCTTTGCATGCTCCTAGTTGGGATGCCTGATTGGGTTCGTTGTCTGCATTGACTAAGCTGGCTATGTATGTTGTTGCTTACTACTTTTTTGGCAACTGTTCCCATGAGCTGGGCTGTTTCTTCTCCTGAGAGCATCACTCAGGTCACAGTCTGTTTAGCTACTTTTCTTGTAAGGTAGTCCTTGTTGGCGCTTTCCTGCCGCGCAGGTTGTGCGGTTCGGACACAGTGTCCTGCGCATGCGCCGTGGGCGTTTTTGGTTATGGGCGATGTGCACCAGTGCTGGTGTTTTGCGTCCTTTTCTCTCGGGTGCTTCACCTCTCATTCTTCTCCGTTCTCCAATCCGTGCCTCGTGGCTACTGGGGTGTTCTGGATTGCGGCTATGGGGTAGACGCCGGGGTTTTCCATGTGTTATGGGTACAGGGCACCTCTTTCACCTCTACGCTGCTCAGCAATATGTCCAGGGTTGATGTGCGGGCACTGGGATTTTGGTGGTCGAACAAGGTCCTGGCTGCTTGTTATCTCGTAATCGTTCCGGGGCCTAGTTGGGCCTGTGTTGCTTTGGATCGGATATTGCAGCCAGTTGTCTCGACTTTGAGTTGAGGAGTGTACGATGACCGCCTCCCGGGTAAGTCCCTCTACTTTCCTCTGTGGGTAGTTATCTCCGGGGAGCCGACGGGGCTCCCCCCAGAAAACCAGCGTTGAATGTAATGAAACACCATTTTGTGGGTGAGACCCAGAGGCTCCCCGGCATCCCTCCCTTCCTTCGGTCGGCGTTTTTTTCACATGTTTTGACATCCAGTCTCAGAACTGGGGTGTGGATAGCCAGCGTGGGGGGTCTGGGGCTCCCCTTTCCCCCTCCCGGGGAGGGGGAGTCGCGCAGACAGCGGCGCGACGACGTGTGACGTTATACTAGTTTGCTCGTTTCTGTTTGGGGAGTTCTATCCACTATTTTGGCTTTTGGTAGCAATTTTAACCAGAATAGGGGTTTGTTTCAGGACGCTTACTTTTCTGGGTGCCTGACCTGGTCGATGGCAGACATAGAATGCTTCCAACCACACGGGGTTTCTATAGGCCATTGCTCCCCTTGCCTCTCTGAGGGGGCCAGGTTCTGGCTCGTGGTCCCTGGTAGGCCCATAGAACTCCATACACATGACTGATGCCAAAGTCTGACATTAGCATATCAGCCTTCGGGTCTCACCCAGAAAATGTCGTTTCATTACATTCAACACTTTTTTTTTTTTTTAAAGTTCAGTCTACAGCTCAATTTAGCTAGACAAAACTTAAAAATAATTATCTAACTCTTCTGTCTTGATCTGATAGTTATTTATAATGAAACTTTAAACTGTTACTGGAAAATATTCAGGGTAATTAAACCCAATTTATTATTCCAGTGTAACAGATAGGAATATTTAATAGATAGTGACATATCAAACAGCTCCATATCAATTTTTGTTATACAAATTTTAATTTTGGAATTATGCTGTTTTTCTGAATAGTGTAATCTATCATAATAAAACTGTACATTTATGGATATATATACTGTATATTTACTCAGTCTAGTGTGAAATGTGCATTTGCTCAAGCCAGCTTCAACTGTGCACTTGCAAAGTCAAGCTTAATTTGTGTGCTTGCATGGTTCACTTTGAACTGTGTGAACTATTCAAAACAAAACTTTCATGTAATGACTTTTGATGACATAGATAATGCTTGTTGATGTCATGATAGGTGATACCATTACTGTTAACAGTACCCACAAGAGAAACAAGGCTACTGACGGTGAGTGGTGAAGTGCTGCAGTAGAGTAGCGAACATGTTAAACTCCTTGGTGATGGTGAACAGGTCTCCCCCTATAGTCTGGCAGAAGGTCCGGGCCTCCATCCAACTCATCTGAGGAAAGAATGCCAACCATAGTAAAGCTAGTTCTATCTCACTCTTATATCTCTCATGCTACGGTAGTCCTTGAAAATTGTATTCAATCACGAAAGCACTCAGAATATTTTTGTTTTCTCTCCTATGTGTGGATACTTATGAAGATATGTATGGGTGTGTAACTACACCTAAGTGTAGTTACTGGATGAGAGGTAGGCTTGGGGTGTCCCATCTTCCCAGTACAGCAAACTTTGTTGTATAAAGCTTTGAAACTACCGGCAGTTTTGGCCTCCACCACCCTGTCACTTTGCTTGTTCTAACCGTCTACCACTCTATTTGCAAGTGTATGTATACTCACCTATTTGTGCTTGCGGGGGTTGAGCTCTGGCTCTTTGGTCCCGCCTTTCAACTGTCAATCAACTGGTACTCACCTAGTTGTGTTTGCGGGGGTTGAGCTCTGGCTCTTTGGTCCCGCCTCTCAACCGTCAATCAACAGGTGTACAGATTCCTGAGCCTATTGGGCTCTATCATATCTACACTTGAAACTGTGTATGGAGTCAGCCTCCACCACATCACTTCCTAATGCATTCCATTTGTCAACCACTCTGACACTAAAAAAAGTTCTTTCTAATATCTCTGTGGCTCATTTGGGCACTCAGTTTCCACCTGTGTCCCCTTGTGCGTGTGCCCCTTGTGTTAATGGGGCATGGTGTATAGGTTCCTGAGCCTATTGGGCTCTATCATATCTACACTTGAAACTGTGTATGGAGTCAGCCTCCACCACATCACTGCCTAATGCATTCCATTTGTCAACCACTCTGACACTAAAAAAATTCTTTCTAATATCCCTGTGGCTCATTTGGGCACTCAATTTCCACCTGTGTTCCCTAACGCGTGTGCCCCTTGTATTAAATAGCCTGTCTTTATCTACCCTGTCAATTCCTCTGAGAATCATGTACGTGGTGATTATGTCCCCCCTAACTCTTCTGTCTTCCAGCGACGTGAGGTTTAATTCCCGTAGTCTCTCCTTGTATGTCATACCTCTCAGCCCAGTACCAGTCTGGTGCCAAACCTTTGAACTTTTTCCAGTTTAGTCTTATGCTTGACTAGATATGGACTCCATGCTGGGGCTGCATACTCCAGGATTGGTCTGACATAGGTGATATACAAAGTTCTGAATGATTCCTTACACAAGTTTCTAAATGCCGTTCTTATATTGGCCAACCTGGCATATGCTGCTGATGTTATCCTCTTGATATGGGCTTCAGGGGACAGGTCTGGCGTGATATCAGCCCCCAAGTTTTTCTCTCTCTCTCTGACTCTTGAAGAATTTCATCTCCCAAATGATACCTTGTAACTGGCCTCTTGATCCCTACACCTATCTTTATTACATTACATTTGCTTGGGTTAAACTCTAACAACCATTTGTTTGACCATTCCTTCAGTTTGTCTAGGTCTTCTTGAAGCCTCAAGCAGTCCTCCTCTCTCTTAATCCTTCTCATAATTTTGGCATCATCAGCAAACATTGAGAGGAATGAGTATACCCTCTGGGAGATCATTTGCATATATCAGAAACAGGATAGGACCGAGTACAGAGCCCTGTGGAACTCCACTGGTGACTTCACGCCAATCTGAGGTCTCACCCCTCACTGTAATTCTCTGCTTCCTATTGATCCACTGGAGCACTTTACCAGTTACTCCTGCCTGTCTCTCCAGCTTATGTACCAGCCTTTTATGGGGGACTGTGTCAAAGGCTTTCCGACAGTCCAAAAAAATGCAGTCCGCCCAGCCTTCTTGTTCTTGCCTAATCTTTGTCACCTGGTCGTAGAATTCTATTAAGCCAGTAAGGCAAGATTTACCCTCCCTGAACCCATGTTGGCAATTTGTCACAAAGTCCCCTCTCTCCAGATGTGTTACTAGATTTTTTCTCATGATCTTCTCCATCACCTTGCACGGTATACAAGTTAAGGACTCTGGCCTGTAGTTCAGTGCCTCTTGTCTGTCACCCTTTTTGTATATTGCGACCACATTAGCTGTCTTCCATATTTCTGGTAGGTCTCCTGTAACCTACTATATACTATGGAGAGTGGCAAGCAGAGTGCCTCTGCACACTTTCAATACCCATGGTGAGATCCCATCTGGACCAACAGCCTTTCTCACATCCAGATCCAACAGGCGTCTCTTGACCTCGTCTCTCATAATTTTGTACCCTTCCAAAGCCGCCTGGTTTACTGCTCTATCTCTTAGCACAGTGACCTCACCTTGTTCCATTGTGAAGACCTCCTGGAACCTCTTGTTGAGTTCTTCACACTCCTCTTTGTCATTCTCTGTATACCTGTCCTCGCCTGTTCTAAGTTTCATTACCTGTTCTTTCACTGTTGTTTTCCTCCTGACCCAATGTCTTTGTGTGTGTGTGTGTGTGTGTGTGTGTGTGTGTGTAATTACCTAAGTGTAGTTACAGGATGAGAGCTACACTTGTGGTGTCCCGTCTTCCCAGCACTCTTTGTCATATAACGCTTTAAAACTACTGACGGTCTTGGCCTCCATCACCTTCTCACCTAACTTGTTCCAATCACTGTTTGCGAAAGTGAATTTTCTTATATTTCTTCGGCATCTGTGTTTAGTTAGTTTAAATCTATGACCTCTTGTTCTTGAAGTTCCAGGTCTCAGGAAATCTACCCTATCAATTTTATCAATTCTTGTTACTATTTTGTACATAGTGACCATATCACCTCTTTTTTTGTCTGTCTTCTGTTTTGGCATATTTAAGGCCTCTAACCTCTCCTTCTGGCTCTTGCCTTTCAGTTCTGGGAGCCACTTAGTAGCATGTCTTTGCACCTTTTCCAGTTTGTTGATGTGCTTCTTAAGATATGGGCACCACACAATCGCTATATATTCTAGGTTTGGCCTTTTCGTGATGTGTGTGTGAGTGTGTGTGTTTGTTTTAATAATATGAACACAGAAAATAAGTAAACATGAGTTGAGAAAAGTTTGAATATAATGAGTTGAGTTGTAAAGTGTTTTCATTCATAAACAATATGGCTACTAAGTTTTGACGTAGCTGAAAGGTAATATGGACACACTTACATTACCAATGAAGAAGATGGAGAGGCAGTGTTCCCCGACCTTTGTGTATAGCATTGGACAGTCTGGATGGTGAATGGTACTATTGAGCTTCAGCAAGAATTGCTCAGACCAGTTCTCATTCCTCACGTGGATAGATGGCTGTATCGTAGTTGGCTCTGCAACATAAACTTACCTATAAACCCCTACACTGCTCCAAGTGCCATATCCAATTTTTCCTCTTTAATTTGTTAGCTATTTTTAAGCATGGTAACCTCAATGTACAGTACTTTCAAATAGCTGCACCATTTAACAATAATAATAATAATAATAATAATAATAATAATAATATTAATAAAAGAACAGTTGAGAATAAATAGGCAAGAAAAGTACATAAAGCCACTAATATGCAGTGTGTTTTGTGCATAACACAGAAATAATTAGAATAATATACAAGCTTAATGGCATAATAAAACTAAATGACATAAGATAACGGTTTTGAATTGTTGAAATGTAGGAATTGATTAAAAAAAAGTTTTGCGTGATGTAACTGTAATTCACAACTTTTTATTTTTACCCCCATTGTTAAGTATGCTTATATATGCATGTTTGGCTTCTGAAACTAGCACGTTATTATTTGATTGCATACTATTTATTGCTAGTTGTGAGGAAAGTGAGTCAGAGATAATTAAGCTGTCTATTTCAGTGTTGTCAATAATTTTGAGTGCTACCAGTATTGCTACCAACTCAGCTTGCATTGTGGATGCCCAGTTACTAACTCTTATATCCCTTTGAAATGTGCTGCCATCAGGTTGATGAGCAATAACAGCACTTCCTGCCCTTCCTGTAGCTGTATTGAGTGATCCATCAGTGTATATGGTCTGTGCAATGTTGTTTTTAGTTTATATATTGTAAATGTGTTCTATGGTAATTAATTTGGCAGCAAGCTGAGCATGAGGGTTGTTTGTGATTAGTTTCTTGGTGGGGTATGCAGGGGTCAGGATGTCAAAAGGTACTATCTGCCAGGGTGGAAGGAAGTGCTATACTCTAAGATACATAATATCAAATATTATGTACCTTGGTACATAATACATAATATCAAGGTACATAATATCAAATATTATGTACCTTGCCCTGCCCTATTGACACTATTACTCTCTCATCTATCCTTATCTCAACTATGGTATTTGTGCTTGGGGTTCTACTACCCAAAATCATTTACATCCTCTAATTATTCAACACAAAGCTGCTATTAGGACAATATCTAACTTTGGCCCCAGACACCACTCGGTACCCTTATTCAAATCTCTGAATATGTTAGATATTAAGTCACTGCACATCCTTTACATATATTTACTACACATTCTTTATATATATAAAACGCTGAACTGTAATGTCAATCCTGACCTTAAAAGCTCATAGAAGGTTGTAACAGATCCCATGAGCACCACACCAGAAACAAATACCTATTTGATATTCCAAGAGTATGATTTAATCAAACTAGAAATGCTTTACAAATCAAGGGACCCAGAATGTGGAATGACCTTTCCAATTATGTTAAAGACTGTACCTCTCCCAACCAGTTTAAGATAAAAACTAAGTACTACCTAATTAACTCCATGTAACCTACCTCACCCCCAAAATGTCAACCCATGTCTACTACTTTAAACAATGCTGTTTGTTTACCAAATTGTATTTTTGTTTTTGTTTTTCCTGCCATGTTTTCCCCCCCCTTTTTCTCATATTTTTTCTTATTTTTCTTATTTTTTCTCAACACAATTTATACTTTAATCTCAATTAGTATTAAATTTCAGTCTTAGTGTTTTTCCTGCCCGAAACGCTTTGCGTAATAGTGGCTTTAGGCATTGTATGTACTAGCTCTATAAATCCATCAACTTTTTGTATCTCACCTTGTATGTATGTACTTTACCTGAATAAATATTTGTATTTGTATACAATAATCTATTAAGCACCACTCTCTCAAAGGTTTTGTACAAGCAACTGATCAGTGAGATGGGACGAAAAGCATCAGGTTGGTTAGGTTTTGGTACATCTATATAATCTGTATATGGAATATCACAGTCATCATGTTGCTTGCTCAACATGAAATTAATGAGAGCATTTCTATCTGTGGACTTCGCCTGCAATTTTTCCCTAGTGCTAGCTGGTAACATTCCAGAGCTGGAGATCTGAGCCCATTTTGTAATTAACTGATTGGCTTTCTGTAGCTGGTTTTGGTGTGAAACTTGTTTATTATTTTTACCAATAATTTTGTTTATGCCTTTCCAGACTTTGTCCAGGGGAGTATGCAGGTTAAGTCCACTAACAAAACCCTCCCATTCATTTTGTCTCAGTTTAGTCATTCTCTCCCTCGCCGCTGCAAGCGCGGCCTGAAACAGTTTTAACATTTGAGGAGTTCTAAAGGCTCTTATATGCTTTACCAGTTTGTCTAACAATTGATTTAAGTTCTTTCAATTTAGCATCATCATAGTACTGGTTGTGTCTGACCTGCTTGCCTGTACGTCTTATTGTTTGGTGTGACTCACTATTTTTGATGGGCTCATAGGTTTTATTCACGAGGTCATCATAAAATTGTTGTACATTCTCAGGCTCATAATTGTTATACCAATGTTCAGTGCTGTCTATAAAGATTTTTTCTTGCTCTTTCCTTACTGTTAGCTTGCGTCTACTCAGTTTACTGCCAGGTAAGTCAACATTAGCCACGTGTATGTTAGCTGTTATGGCTAAATTAACGGTTAGACATTAAGTCATCCATAATATCAGTCTCATGAGTTGTGTATGACAGGTTAAAGCCAATGCACCTATCGAGCACTCCTCCATATATTTGTGTTGGTTGATTCTTACTGATAATTTGAACATTATCATATGCATCGAGAAGTGCCATCAATCTTCTATCGTTGGTGTTTTTGAGTTGATTCCCTAATTGTTTGTGTTTAGCATTTAAATCCTCAATTAAGATTGTAGGGACAGTATGTGCAAAATTAGGTAGGCTTATATACAGTACAGGAGGAGGCCAGTAGGTGCATAGGCATTTAAAACATTAAGTGTAGAGTTACCAATGTGTACCTGGATACCATGATATTGAATCCTCTCGTTGTTGAGCTGGAAGTGACTCATGTGCCAGTGATTGTTTAACATACATAATTCATGTATTTTTTATCTGGATTTATAATACTGATAACTAGGCAGATTCTGTGGGGTTTTACCTATGGGAGTTAGGGGTTCTTGGAGGCAGACAATATCTAGGTCTTTAGTCATAACCTTATGATGGAGGTTAGAATATGGTGTTCCCTTTGGTTCGAGATTTCTTTGCATAGGCTTTATTTTTGGTTTATCTTGCCTCCAGTTGTTGGGTTGGAGAGCTTCATGCTCTCATCCAGAGTTTTTTTTTTTTTTGGCCCTGGTGAGTGTTATGTTCTTTTGCAGCTGGCTCTTTTTTTTCTGACTTCTCGAGGGTCCTTTGGTCATTGATGCTAGGTAGGTTCAACCAGGGGGGTGCATCATGTGTTGTGTCTGGTGGTGGCTCTCCGCTGCTACCTTCGTGCTACCGATTCTGCTTCGGTGGACACCTTGTGAGTTGATCCTTTTTCCTTGTTTCCCTTGTTCCAAGGCTCGCATTTCCCAGGTCGTCTGCAGTGTAATTAAGTCTATCTAGCTTGCAGTGTACCCCTCATGCCCATGACTAAGGGTTTGGAAGAATGGCTCTCTTTTGGCCTGTCTTCAAACATGTCCTGGGCTGATATTTGAGCACGCGGATTTTAGAGGTCAAACAGGGTTCGGGCAACCTGGTATTTAATTAATATTCCCGGGTCTGGGTGCTCTTGTGTGGCCCTGGATCGTGGCTCTCGGCTGGGAGTGAGATCATTCTCTTCGACTGATGTGACCAAGTAGATGGTAACCATCTTAGCATATACTTTCAAGGAGCCAGAAATTGGCATTCCTTTACATTCAATGCTAGTTTTTGCAACAGTACATAGTAATTAATTTTATATGACTTGATAATGATCCAGGACGAATCGAAACGTTGTAAAGCTCTCTATTTTTTAAATTTGTGGGCTGGTGTCTAATTAAGTTATATTAAGGGTTATTAAGGCCTATTAACCTCTGGATAGTTATTAAGGCCTATCAACCTCTGGATGGATATTAAGGCCTATCAACCTCTGGAGTTGTATTAAGGTCTATTAACCTCTGGAAGGTTATTAAGGTCTATTAACCTCTGGAGGGGTATTAAGACCTATCAACCTCTGGAGGATTATTAAGTTCTTTCAACCACTGGAGTGGTATTAAGGCCTTTCAACCTCTGGAGGATTATCAAGTCCTATTAACCTCTGGAGGGGTATTAAGGCCTATTAATCTCTGGAGGGTTATTAAGGCCTATCAATCTCTTGAGGATTATTAAAGCATATCAACCTATGCCCAACCACTTGGGCTGGACGGTAGAGTGACGGTCTCGCTTTCTGCAGGTTGGCGTTCAATCTCCGATCGTCCAAGTGGTTGGACACCATTCCTTTTCCCCAACCTATCCCAAATCCTTATCCTGACCCCTTCTAAGTGCTATATAGTCTTAATGGGTTGGCGCTTTTCCCTGGTAATTCCCTCCTATCAACCTCTGGAAGATTATTAAGGTCTATCAACATCTGGAGGGTTATTAAGACCATCATAAGAGCTTGTTGACTAACTAGAAAGTATATTTCAGCCCTGAACATAATACAGAACTGAAATATGCTCTCAGTGTATATTCACTGAAAAGCAGGTTACAACTCTGGGCTCACTATCCCTTGCTGGTGGATTAGGTAAGGGAGGGTTAGGGTGACCCACATATAGGAGCAAGGGTTGGGGGGGAGTGACCCCACCTGTGGGAGCAGGGTTAGGGGGTGACCTACCTGTGGGAGCAGGGTTAAGGGGTGACCTACCTGTGGGAGCAGGGGGGGTGGGCATCTGGATGGCGTTCAGGGACTGAATCTTGCCATCCTTCAGCATCTGTGGGGCGAGCGACAAGCATCAATCATTGGTGCTAAACTGGTCAGTGGTGCATTAACCTCGATTGTTTGTATCCAAACAAGCACACAATATGTGGAAGTCATCATGATGTTCTTGGAATAAACGTTCACTTGTTCCCTGAACAAATATTGATTAGGAAACAGTGTGGTTGATATGGAACAAATTGCCGGGGTAACGTAATATACATTGGATTGCTGTTTTTTGTTCAGACTTGCGTTAGACGTACAGTATATGGATTAGTTTGTGGGGTTTTAAATAAGAGCCGTCTCATATGGGCCAATATAGGAGCTGCCTCGTATAGGCCAGTAGGTCTTCTGCAGCTATCGTATTGTTTTTTTAAGTATAATTTATAAGCAAAATTATTATTTCTGGAGGGAGCCCATTGTGGCTCCCAGAAGCTATCTTCCTGAGATTGTGCTACACAGAAAGATCACATTAGCCGCGGCTAGTTCTGTTGACCTACTGGGCCAACAGAACTAGCGGCGATATGCACCAGTTTCGTGCCGAATATCTACCATATACGACACGGGACTGCTGTATTTGGGACTGTCAGGGGGAACTGCACCTCTAAGACCTATTAGAGGTGCCAGGGACTGCACGGGACTGCACTTCTGCACACACAAGTGCAGAGAACAGGTGACAATTCGTCACCTCACCAGACGAAGCCTTCAGAAAGTCAAGTCAGCTTTACAGCAACCTGTCCTCAGGCCAGGCTCGTTAAAGTGGCGGCTGCCTTGCAGTCCCAGATGCATTTATCAATTTTAATGTGCTGTGTTTTAAATAAGTTTGTTCTCAAATATAAATTAATATTATGTATTAAAGTTCAATGTATAGTTAGGAGTCGTTTAGGTTTTGTTGGTGATTATTTGTAAGTGAAATACATGGATGAAGTATTTGTTAAGTTGTGATTTGAACAGAGGTCGTCAGGGAAGCACTGTTCGATAAATGTTCAAACGTTATCAGTTGTGAGTTGCGTGTAAACCTTTTTCACTCATAAACATGGGATTTGGCTGCTGGATTAATGAGTATCTGGCCTTTGTTGATGAGGATGGGCTACTATGCGGAAAACTGGAGGGTTCACAGAAAACAAAGCCTTTAAAAAAAACAAATGAGTCACATGGAACAAGGGATTCGTTGAAATGAGCTCCAAACTCGTTAGTACCAATTACCACCACCAGGCAGTCCAGCCCGGCTCCCAGCTGCATGGCTCCCCACATCAGGGGCTAGATTCAGGAAGTAGTTACGCAAACACTTACGAACAGCTTTCTCAATCTTTGGCGGCTTTGTTTACAATTATTAAACAGTTAATGAGCTCCGAAGCACCAGGAGGCTGTTTATAACAATAACAACAGTTGACTGGGAAGTTTTCATGCTTGTAAACTGTTTAATAAATGTAACCAAATTCGTCAAATATTGAGGAAAGGTGTACAGGTTCGTAAGTACTTGCGTAACTGCTTCGTGAATCTGACCCCAGTTCTATATCTGATGTTGATGTCACAGCAGCAACTTGTAGTGCTTCCAGTCACGCCAGCTGGTGGGCGAGCCCCGAAGGTTGAGGCTAAGTGCCGGCCTTCCTTGGACTTAATTGCTTGTCTTCAGGAGGCCATTTGCTTTACTGTAATGTCTCCAATTTTAATGTTGCTTCACATGTATGTTTTAATTCCTGCTTGTTGTGTGGAGGTTGGCTGTTTGTGCGTTTTGGGCTTTATGTACTCAGTTTTTTTCCGTGTGCCCACTAATGCTACTCTTGCACAGCCAGAGACGAGAGTCGACAGTACCTGACAGATGAGGGTCAACGGTACCCTCACAGGAAAGGGTTGTACCTGACAGAGACGAGGGTCGACGGTACCCTCACAGGGCGGGTCAGTGAGGGTACAGTAGGTGCTGATGGTGACACAGTCTGAGCGGCCGCTTCTGGTACACTTGGCGTGGTTCCTCTCGCAGTCACTGTTCCTCCATACCTGTCAGACATTAATATATATATAACTTAAGTGGATATCTATCTATCTGTCTCTCTCTCTCTCTCTCTCTCTCTCTCTCTCTCTCTCTCTCTCTCTCTCTCTCTCTCTCTCTCTCTCTCTCTCTCTCTCTCTCTCTCTCTCTCTCTCTCTCTCTCTCTCTCAAGCCAAGCAGGACAGAACTAAGGCTCCCTAACTCAAGCAGGACAGAACTAAGGATCCCTAACTCAAGCAGGACAGAACTAAGGATCCCTAACCCAAGCAGGATAGAACAGAGAAGGAAAGTCTTACCGCACAGAGGGAGCTCTCTTCATCAGTGCTGTCGCCACAGTCGTTGTCACCATCACAAATGTACCGGATCCGGGTACATCTGTCACTCGTTCCACAGTGGATTTGGTCAATCTCAGGGCACGTGGATTTGGCTGGGAGAGACACCAGGACTTGTAGACTGATTAGTGTGATGGTGTGTGGGTGGTGTGGGGGTGTGGTGGTGTGGGGGTGTGGTGGTGTGGGGGGTGTGGTGGTGTAGGGGTGTGGTGGTGTAGGGGTGTGGTGGTGTAGGGGTGTGGTGGTGTAGGGGTGTGGTGGTGTAGGGGTGTGGTGGTGTAGGGGTGTGGTGGTGTAGGGGTGTGGTGGTGTGGTGGTGTAGGGGTGTGGTGGTGTAGGGGTGTGGTGGTGTAGGGGTGTGTGGAGGGTGAAGTCGTAGTGTGTGCTAGTGCGTGTGGAGGTGTGTGGAGAGTGGAGTGGTGGGTATGGTGGTGGTAGTGTAGGTTCAGTGTAGCCCTAAATGGATTCATCTCTTCTCACGAGGCAATTCATTATACATTAATACACGCCACGCTCTTAATAATTAAACAACATAATGTCGTAGTTTACATGAATTTATCTGAATTCACCACGACTTACAAATAAACCACTGAAATATGTAATTTATAAACCCGTTTCGTTTCTATGTATACCTTCCAGATGTTTAATACACCCAGGAGGGGTGGTAGACTCGGGATACCATAACATCTGTAGATTTATTGACACATTAAACAAACTTAGGTGTCCCTGTAAGGTGGCATTGAGATGTGGCTCTGAGAGGTGACCCCTTAGGGATAGTCCTGAGAAGTGTCCCCGAGTTATAATACCCTCTTGAGAGATGACCCTTAGGGTAGGTCCCGATAAATTGCCCTGGGAAGAAGCCCCGAAAGTTGTAATGCATTACAATGATTGATAACCACTCTTCAGGAATTTGTGAATCTGTGTCAATCCCAACTAGTCCGGCAAACATCACCAACAGCTATGCAGATGACATCCTTGTACATACTAAAACCCACCACGAAATGCAATCTTAAATTGAATACATACAGCCTGTGAGAGCCTTGGTTTTGTGATCAACGCTGCTAAAACTAAGTTTAACAGACAATTGATAATCACAAAAGTGGACCACGGAAACTTAAGATAGACAACATACCAATAGACTATGTCTCTTCTTTTAAATACCTTGGTGTGTCTGTCCCTTGTACCTCAACTGCAGTCAATAAGTTACATCAACAATGTAGAGACAGACTCAAGGCTATCAGAACGGAGTAGGGTACAGCCCTAAGTACGGTGTTAATATTAGAATAGCAAAAATGATGTACTTAGCATATATGTCACTGATAAACTATCATGCACCTGCATTAGTTCTGCAAAATGTCAAATGTATTGATAGACTGGAAAAAATGCAAAATGAAGCACTCAGAATTATATTTGGCTGTCCTATTACTACCAAAGTTCTCAACATGCGGAAAGAATTATATATACTTAGCATCCAAGATAGAATATTTGAAATCAATCTTATGATGGGACTGAAGCTTCTGCGTGATAACAAAAGCAACATTGTGTCAGTTGAACTGTTAGAACACATACGTAAAGGAACCAGCGAGTCTAAATGGATTCAAAGAACAACCACTCATATTAAAATGATGGGACTGCACGATGAATATACAGATGAAAGAGTATAGCACTTCCTTCCACCCTGGCAGATAGTACCTTTTGACATCCTGACCCCTGCATACCCCACCAAGAAACTAATCACAAACAACCCTCATGCTCAGCTTGCTGCTAAATTAAGCACCATAGAACACATTTACAATATACAAACTAAAAACAACATCGCACAGACCATATACACTGACGGACGGATCACTCAATACAGCTAAAGGGAGGGCAGGAAGTGCTGTTATTGCTCATCAGCCCGATGGCAGCACAATTCAAAGGAATATAAGAATCAGTAACTGGGGATCCACAATGCAAGCCGAGTTGGTAGCACTCGAAATTATTGACAACATTGAAGTAGACAGCTTAATTATTTCCAACTCCCTTTCCTCACTACTAGCAATGAATAGTTTACAATCAAGTAATAACGTGCTTGTCTTGGAAGCTAGACGTAGATATATAAGAATACTTAGCAAGAGGGTAAATATAAAAATGTTGTGGATTCCTTCTCACATTGGCCTGCAAGAACATAATAAAGTTAACGCCCTTGCTAAGGTTGCAGTAAATAAAGACAGTATTGAACGGAATCTTGAGTTATCAAATAGGTCCCTTAAAAGTGTCATTAGACGAGAACTCCTGGATGAATTTGAAGAAAGTAGAACAGTGCAAACTGGAACTAACAGGTCCATTGTTTATCACAATGAAATGTGTGAAGTAAAACATGTGTATGGGGCAAGTAACAAAGTCAGTAGACTAACAGACGTTGTCACAGCTCGTATAAGACTTGGCTATAAGTATCTCTGGCAGTTCGGCTTGTATAGGGATCTAGATGAGGTTATCTATCTTGAGGTTATCTTGAGATGATTTCGGGGCTTTAGTGTCCCCGCGGCCCGGTCCTCGACCAGGCCTCCACCCCCAGGAAGCAGCCCGTGACAGCTGACTAACACCCAGGTACCTATTTACTGCTAGGTAACAGGGGCATTCAGGGTGAAAGAAACTTTGCCCATTTGTTTCTGCCTCGTGCGGGAATCGAACCCGCGCCACAGAATTACGAGTCCTGCGCGCTATCCACCAGGCTACGAGGCCCCGTCCCAACTAAAAACGTAAAAGTGTAAAGTGTGTGGACAAAGACAGAGACACACACTCGAACACTATATCTTGGATAGTAGTAAAATTGAGCCATTTAGAGATAAATCTAAATTCACGTTGTATGATATGGCAAACTACCTAATTACCATGGATAAAATACCTGAAATCCTTGCACTGTATCGATATTTCGCTTCCAGTAGATAAACGACATATGAGATTAAGAAACAAGTAGTGTATTGTGAAGACTAATAATAAACAGCAGCTCCCCTATGACTATAATATCTCCATTGCTCAAACAATTGTGTATTAGCGATAAGACCTACCATTAATGTATAATGACTTACTGTAAATATATAGTTCTTGAAATAGAACATTCTCTGTAACTAGCTGACATTGTAATTATAATGTGTGAAGGATAGATGAAATTGTTTATGTAATAATCTCAGTTGAGGTCCGATAAAAACCTTTTGTGCCCTCTGTAATCGTTTTTTGCGCTACCGCTCACAAGATGAGTATGAGGTGCACAATAAACTAGCCACCCCCGGCGGCACCAATAACAAATCATTACAATGATGAATCTAGTGTGATAATGAATAACGCGATGAAGGTAAACCAGGCATTACTGAATGTCGTTAACCTGGAGGAATAGACACTGAAAGTCCCTCTGATTGAGGCGTCGTGGAGTTCGCAGTATTAGACGTTGTCGTGGGAGATAGAAATATGAGTGTAGCTGCGATAGGCGTGGTCTCAGTGGTCACAGTTGCCACGGGTGTCACTGGAGTGATCGAAGTGGCCGGAAGAGTCGTGGATTCGTTACTGGCGGCGGTGGTGGTGTTGTGGTGGACCACTTCAGTTGTGTTCCCTCCGGTTGGAGCCGTCGTCGGTGTCGCAGACACTGGTGAGGAAAGTGATATCGATGGATTTCATGAAAAGGATTGTCTTTGGTTTGCTCCTACAGACGTCTTCCCCGAAGGCAAGAGCCATTATAATTAACCCCGGAATTAAATAAGCCTCACTGGTCTAGGCCACTCTGCCTAAGGGACTGAAATAGAGGAACATCAACTGATTCTCAGTAAGTTCAGCAACAGCTAAGCATTATAGATCAGAATCAGTAACTTTTCAGCAATGTCTTCGTGTTTAACACACACACAACTCAATTCATAATTATTGTCCCTTTTGACTTAAACTTAACCCTCAGAACTGGGGAGCGTTATGGATTCTTTGAAGAAAAATTTGAGAAGGTTTGGTATGCAGTGAATGACTAATGAATTTCACTAATTGTAAAATTTGCTGACTTTCTTCGCCTTAAAGTCTCACCTGCTGAAGGTCCCCACGTCCGCCATGGTCCCCGTAGCCACGAAGCTTGTCAGCAGTACTAATGTTGCACACAATGAACTTATGGCGTTAACGAAATCAGCTTATCATGAAAACCATATTCCAGAACATAGTCCTTTTCAAAAGTTTATTTATCCTTTTTTTTAACGACCGATAAGCTAAAAGTTCGATTTTGAGATATCTGGTAAAATAATCTTGGTCTTGACAGCTTCTAGGTTGTGTGCTTAGTAAGATGAACTTATCTAGCTGTGCTTGCCTGTTTAGGTGCGGTGTTCCATGCCGGGACTGCTTACTGAACAGTGGGCTGTTGTTGTTGTTTCATATTTAGCTACTCAGGACGAAGTGTCCATATAGCACGGGCTATGGTGAGCCCGTAAGAACAGTGGGCCTCACATTGTGAGTATATAGGACCCGGAAGGTTCCTTTGTCCCCAAATTCCGGCACGTGACACGAACTCTGACCAATTTGACATTTGTCACTGACGTTTTTCTGCCAACGTGTGCTTCTGGTTTTAGGTTTTGGATTGTCTACTACAAGTCTTTATCCTTTTATGATATTGATGTACCAAAATCTAATTTTGTAGTGCTTTACCTGTCTCCTCACTCGTATACCTAGCCTCATAACGTTGCGTCTGGCTCGGTTAAAGTCTAGTAGCCATTTTTCAGACCACTTCTTAATTGTGTAAAGATTCCTGTTTAGGATATCACAGTCCACCTTTTCTGATTCTTCTGTTTGTTTGGCATGAACGGGAAACATAGATATGAGGGAGCCTGTTTTCCCTTGGCATATATTAGAAATTAGCCGAGCCTTGTGGCACTATACACGTAACGTCTCTCTCTCTCTCTCAACTCTGATATCTCTTTTCTTACTGTGACACTTTGATTCCTTCCTGAGAGGTACTCTCTCTCTCACATACATGAACACTCTTCCAGATCCACCAGCCTGCTTCTCGTGCTTGAGTATGAGTCTCTCCTGTGAGACAGTATCGAATGCTTCTTGGCGGGGAGCAGACAGCCTGCCATTCCCCTCTCATCTTTGTTGGATTTCTGTCATCTGATTGATTAACGAAGATTAAGCCACCCAAAAGGTAGCACGGGCATGAATAGCCCGTAAGTGGTGGCCCTTTTGAGCCATTACCAGTATCAAGAGCTGATACTGGAGATCTGTGGAGGTGCGACTGCACCCTGCGTGACGGGAGATGTCTCCCGTGTTCTGTCATCTAGTTGCAAATCTCTTATAAGATTGCGAAGCGGGATTATCTTTCCCTAAATCCGTACTGGCGTTTTATAAACAAATTCTAGTAGTTCTGAGTGTTGCTGCGAACCTGCTTATGTGACTCTAGCACATATAAACGTTAGCAATATTCTAAAACCAAGATACGAGATAAAGCAAATATAATATGTTCGATCTAGAAGCACTTACATAAACACAGGCATTATCTTTCAACAATATCTTGCACAAGTAAGTCCTCAAGTGGATTATACCGTGCAACTTTGGTCACAAGGTTATGCAATGTTTCCAAATTGTCTCGAGAATATTCAACACGGGAAAATCCCGGTAATCCCAAGTGTTGAGTAAGTCACAGTAACAGGGCTCAAACATATGTACCTACCCCCCATATAGTGAACTGACATTTCGGTCTGTCCTGGACCATATCAAGTCCTGACTCACGTTAGGTCCTGGACCATATCAAGTCCTGACTCACGTTAGGTCCTGGACCATATCAAGTCCTGACCCACGTTAGGTCCTGGACCATATCAAGTCCTGACCCACGTTAGGTCCTGGACCATATCAAGTCCTGACTCACGTTAGGTCCTGGACCATATCAAGTCTTGACCCACGTTAGGTCCTGGACCATATCAAGTCTTGACCCACGTTAGGTCCTGGACCATATCAAGTCTTGACCCACGTTAGGTCCTGGACCATATCAAGTCTTGACCCACGTTAGGTCCTGGACCATATCAAGTCCTGACCCACGTTAGGTCCTGGACCATATCAAGTCTTGACCCACGTTAGGTCCTGGACCATATCAAGTCCTGACCCACGTTAGGTCCTGGACCATATCAAGTCTTGACCCACGTTAGGTCCTGGACCATATCAAGTCTTGACCCACGTTAGGTCCTGGACCATATCAAGTCCTGACTCACGTTAGGTCCTGGACCATATCAAGTCCTGACCCACGTTAGGTCCTGGACCATATCAAGTCCTGACCCACGTTAGGTCCTGGACATCGAGCCATGCTAGGAGTCCAGGACGGACCGAAGTGTCGTCACATATTTCATATATGTGGCTTAGTACATATGTTTTAGCCCCGTTAAGGTGACTTGCTCTACATTTAGTCCTTAGTATTGGGAGGCTGTCTTACGGAGCCAGACGTGGAGAACTAACTTACATTCTCTTGTAAGACAGAGGGGAAGGAAGCACAGGACCCAAGTCTGGATGAAAGGTATTTACATGAGAGATGTAAACGAGGTCTTGAGTCAGTTTAAAACAGGAATTCGTACAACTGGTTAGAAATACTAAAAAGAGATAAGGAAATCAAAAAGAAACTATGAAGTTCGCATAGCAGAGCAAGTGAAGACAAATCCTAAAGGGTTTTTCCAGTTATACCGGACAAAGATTAGGGAAAGGATAGGTCCATTAAAAACTGAGACAGGTCAAATCAGTCGGTCAGGTGAAGTCACAGTGAGAGGTTGTGTTAACCGGAGCTCCTGAGTGTTGTTATATTATCATAGCAATATGGAAGTTGTAGTGAAGGACCTGGTGACTCTAGTGGGAGCCCTGAGGACAGAGTTGGACTCTCTGCGGGAGGAGGTGCGTCAGCTTAAAAAACAACGAGAAGTAACGAAGGAGGAGACCAGCAGTAAAGGGACCTCGTCTTGGAGAGTTGCGAAAGACAGGGGCCTTAAGAAGACTTTGATAAAGCCGCCTTCAAACGCCATAGCAACTTCAAATTCATTTGACGTTTTGGAGGACGAGTGCTGTGGAGAGACTGTGGATCGCGCAAAAGGGAAAGCAACGAAGAGAAAGGAAGCGCAGGCCCCTCAGAAAGTAAAGGAAGTACCTAAGCAAACATTAGTTGTGGGAGATTCCCAGATAAGGTATTTGGATAGAACGTTTTGTGCTAGAGATAGGGGGAACAGGTTAAGGGTTTGCTATCCCGGAGCTGGCATTGGTGATATTATAAACAACATGAATGATATTATGGCTGGTAATGGGAACAATCCCATTATTTGCATTAGCGTGGGAGGAAATGATGTTGGTCGAGTCAGGAGTGAGGAACTGATTCAGAGGTATAAAACAGCCATAGAGTTAGTTAGGAGCAAGGGAGGAATCCCGATCATATGTGGCATTCTTCCAAGAAAGGGAGTGGGAAATGAATGGATATCGAGGGCACTTGGTGTCAATTGCCGGCTGGAAAGATATTGCAAATCAAATGCAATATCTTTCATAGACAACTGGGAACACTTCTATGGAAGAAATGAAATGTATGCTCGTGATGGGGTGCATCTATCGAGAGCTGGGGTTGTTGCTGTTGCGAACTCGCTAGAAGAAGTGGTTAGAGGTGTTTGTTTGGGTTTAAACTGTTAGTAGATAGAGGTATGGGAATTGATTTGGAGGAAGGAGGTAATAAAAGTATGTGTTTGTGGGAGAAAGGAATTGGCAAAACGATCAGGGAAAGAGAAGGTCCGCAAAATAACAATTCACTTAGGGTATATTACACTAACAGTAGAAGTCTAAGAAATAAAATTAACGAATTAAATGCTCTTGTCTGCACAGAAAAAATAGATATTATTGCACTTACCGAAACGTGGATGAATGTAGAAAATAGAGAACTATTAGCTGAATATCAAATATATGGATTTAAACTATTTCACACAGATAGATATATTAGACGAGGAGGTGGAGTAGCCATATATGTTAGGGACAATTTGAAATGTAGTCTCAAAGAGGGAATCAAAACAGAGCCACACACAGAAACTATTTGGATTGAATTAAACGAAAAAGCTAATAATATTATAATAGGAGTAATATATAGGCCACCAAATTTAGACAGAATGGAAGCAAAGCATCTATGGGATGAAATATCTAGAGCATCTAGATCTAACAGTATTTATGTCATGGGTGACTTTAATTTTAGCGGAATAAACTGGTTGAACAAAACAGGGAATAGTGAAGCAGAAGATTTTCTAGAATTAATTGACGATTGCTTTCTTACGCAACACATTAAGGAACCAACACGGGAAAATAATATTTTAGATTTAGTGTTAACTAACAGGGAAACGCAAATTAATGACATCGAAATAGGGAGTGAGCTAGGGAGCAGTGATCACAAAGAAATCAGATTTAGCATAGAATGGAATAGACCAGTAGGAGAAAATTCTGTTAAAGTGCCAGATTTTCGAAAAGCTGATTTTAATAGCCTAAGAAATTTTTTGGGTCAAATTGATTGGAAAGGCTTGGGTATGGGGTGTGGGCCGGTCTTGGAGCGAGACATGAACCCAGCGATAGGTGACTTAAATGGGGATTTCGATGTGGATTCAATATATAACTTATTTAAGAATATTCTAAACAAAGCACAGGAACGTAGTATACCATACAAATTGAATAGATCGTATACTAATGACCCAAAGTGGATAACAAAGAATTTGAAGAACCTTATAGGTAAAAAGAGAGCTTGGTACAAAAGGATTAAAAATGGGGAGGTCACTTTAGAACAGGAATTCGTACAACTGGTTAGAAATGTTAAAAAAGAGATAAGGAAAGCAAAAAGAAACTATGAAGTTCGCATAGCAGGGCAATCAAAGACAAATCCTAAAGGGTTTTTTCAGTTATATCGTACTAAGACTAGGGAAAGGATAGGTCCATTAAAAACTGAGACAGGTCAAATAACAGATAGAGATGAAGAGATGAGTAGTATTTTTAATAAATATTTTGTATCTGTATTTACTAAAGAGGAACTTAACAATATGCCTTCAGCCGAACAAGTCTATGTGGGTGGGGACGAGGACAGGTTGACGAGTTTAGCAGTTACCAGGGAGGATGTTCTTAAACAAATAGTAAAACTCAAACCAAACAAATCCCCAGGGCCGGATGAAGTGTTTGCTAGGGTGCTTAAAGAATGCAAAGAGGAGCTTTGTGACCCACTGTCAACCATATTTAATAAATCAATAGAGTCAGGCAGAGTGCCAGAGTTTTGGAAAGTTGCTAATGTGATACCAGTTTTTAAGAAAGGAGATAGATCACTTGCGTCTAACTATCGACCAATTAGCCTAACGTCTATTGTGGGAAAGTTACTCGAATCTATAATAGCAAATAAAATTCGTCTTCATCTTGAAAAACATAAATTAATAATTGAGTCGCAACATGGTTTTATAAATGGCCGTTCATGTTTAACAAATTTGTTATCTTTTTATTCTAGCATTGTTGAGGCAGTTGATAGTGGTAAGGATTGCGATGTTGTATACCTTGACTTTAGCAAAGCTTTTGATACAGTGCCACATGAAAGACTGATTAAAAAAATAGAGTCTCATGGTATTGGGGGTGCTATATTAAGCTGGATTAGGGCATGGCTATACCAAAGGAAACAGAGAGTTAGTATAAATGGAATCAAGTCAGAGTGGGAAAATGTTGTAAGTGGAGTGCCTCAAGGCTCTGTCCTGGGACCTCTGTTGTTTATAATATATATAAATGATTTAGATTCAGGTTTGAGTAGCAACATTTGCAAATTTGCCGATGATACGAAAATCGGTAGGGAAATTAATTCGGAGGAGGACTCACTATCACTTCAAGTTGATCTAGATAGGGTTTTGAAATGGTCAAAGGATTGGCAGATGCAGTTTAATGCTGATAAATGTAAAGTTCTGAGGTTAGGTAATGATGATAGAGTTACAAGATACGAGCTAGATGGTGTTGTGATTGCGAAGTCGGATTGCGAAAGGGATCTGGGAGTTATGATTAGTAAGAATTTAAAACAAAAGGATCAATGCATAAATGTTCGTAATAAGGCAAATCGGACACTTGGATTTATTAATCGCAGCGTTAGTAACAAGACACCTGGTGTGGTTCTCAAGCTATATCTTGCTCTAGTTAGGCCCCATTTAGATTATGCAGTTCAGTTTTGGTCGCCATATTATAGAATGGATATAAATTCACTTGAACGTGTCCAGCGTAGGATGACTAAGTTAATTCCCCAAATTAGAAATCTTTCATATGAAGAAAGATTAACAAAGCTTAAGTTGCATTCACTGGAAAGGCGAAGAGTTAGGGGTGACATGATAGAGGTTTACAAGTGGATGAATGGACATAACCGGGGGGATATTAATAGGGTATTAAAAGTATCAACACAGGACAGAACACGAAACAATGGATATAAATTGGATAAGTTTAGATTTAGGAAAGACTTGGGTAAATACTGGTTCAGTAACAGGGTTGTTGATTTGTGGAACCAATTGCCGCGTAACATTGTGGAGGTGGGGTCCCTCGATTGTTTCAAGCACGGGTTGGACAAGTATATGAGTGGGATTGGGTGGTTATAGAATAGGAGCTGCCTCGTATGGGCCAATAGGCCTTCTGCAGTTACCTTTGTTCTTATGTTCTTATGAGAATGCCAAGGAATTTGCCATCTAATTTGTTACAAATTTGGGTATTGTTTATTTTGAGATTCATTTGATTAGAGGATTTATTGCCAAACAGAATATAGAAAGTTTTGTCAATGTTAAGGGTGAGTTTGTTGGCAGTTAGCCACAGATGGACTTTATTTAGCTCAGTATTTACTGTGGCATTTAGAGCAAGGGGTCAGGACTGGAGTAAATGAAGGTTGTGTCGTCAGCAAATAGAATTGGTTTGAGGTGTTGGGAGGCATTTGGAAGGTCATTAATGTAGATGAGAAAGAGGAGAGGGCCAAGTATGCTGCCCTGGGGAACACCAATGTTGATGGGTAGGGTGGGAGAAATTGTATTATTCACAGAAACACATTGGAGCCTGTCAGTAAGGTAGGATTTGAGGTATTGTAGGGAGTGTCCTCTGACTCCATAATGATGTAATTTAAGAAGAAGGTTTTGGTGGTTGACAGTATCGAAAGCTTTACGCAGGTCCACAAATAACCCAACAGGGAACTCATTTTGATCAAGAGCTGTATGAATCGAGTTAAGCATACTAATAAGTGCATCGTTAGTGCTTTTTTTGGGCCTGAAGCCATATTGGCAAGGGCTAAGTATATTGAGTTTGGCTAGATATGAGTAAAGCTGCTTATAGATTAGTTTTTCAAAAAATTTTGACAAGTTTGGCAGGATTGATATAGGTCTGTAGTTGTTAACATCTGTGAGATCACCACATTTGTGGACAGGCGTTACTCTCGTTTTTTTAGAATATCTGGAAAGGTTTGGAGTTCAAGTGACTTGTTGAAGAGCAAAGCAATAGCAGGGGCTAAAGATCTGGAGGCTTTTTTGTAGATTAAAGTTGGTATCTCCTCAAGGGCACCAGACTTGGTTTTAAGGGAAAGGATTATCTCATTGACGTCAATGGAATTAATAGGCTTTAGGTACAGAGACTGGGGATAGTTCCCTGTAAGATAGTCCTTACAGGGAACTAACTCTCTGTTTCCTTTGGTATAGCCATGCCCTAATCCAAGTTAATATAGCACCCCCAATACCATGAGCTTCTATTTTTTTAATTAGTCTTTCATGTGACACTGTATCAAAAGCTTTGCTAAAGTCAAGGTACACAGCATCACAATCCTTACCACTATCAACTGCCTCAACTATGCTAGAATAAAAAGATAACGTGGATGAATGTAGAAAATAGAGAACTATTAGCTGAATATCAGATAAATGGATTTAAAATATTTCACACAGATAGATATATTAGACGAGGAGGGGGAGTAGCCGAACCCAGGGCCACAGGATCACAAGTTCAGCGTGCTGTCCGCTCGGCCGACCGGCTCCCTCCAGAGTACTCACCAACAGTACACAAGTGACTCACCAACGGGAAGAGTACTCATCAACAGTACACAAGTGACTCACCAACGGGAGGAGTACTCACCAACAGTACACAAGTGACTCACCACCGGGAAGAGTACTCACCAACAGTACATAAGTGACTCACCACCGGGAAGAGTACTCACCAACAGTACATAAGTGACCCACCACCGGGAAGAGTACTCACCAACAGTACATAAGTGACTCACCAACGGGAGGAGTACTCACCAACAGTACACAAGTGACTCACCAACGGGAAGAGTACTCACCAACAGTACACAAGTGACTCACCAACGGGAGGAGTACTCACCAGCACACACCAGGCCCATCAGCAGCACAACCGTCCTTATCACAGTAGCAGTCATGGTGAGGATCAGGTCCCTTGGTCACCCTGTAATGGTCTCATGGTGAGTACAGTGACATGACACACTGTCAACAGTGACACAGTATATATATATATATATATATATATATATATATATATATATATATATATATATATATATATATATATATATATATATATATATATATATATATAACTGAAAACTCACACCCCAGAAGTGACTCGAACCCATACTCCCACAACTGGTATGTACAGGGACGCCTTAATCCGCTTGACCATCACGACCGGACATAAGGAAGTGATAGCCGAGGCTATATGAACCACTTCCCCGCCGGCACTCGGATGGTAATCTTGGGCATAGCATTTTATCAAATCACCTCATTCTTTGGGGCACACGTGAGGAACACAAATGCAAACAAGCCTGAATGGTCCCCAGGACTATATACAACTGAAAACTCACACCCCAGAAGTGACTCGAACCCATACTCCCACAACTGGTATGTACAGGGACGCCTTAATCCGCTTGACCATCACGACCGGACATAAGGAAGTGATAGCCGAGGCTATATGAACCACTTCCCCGCCGGCACTCGGATGGTAATCTTGGGCATAGCATTTTATCAAATCACCTCATTCTTTGGGGCACACGTGAGGAACACAAATGCAAACAAGCCTGAATGGTCCCCAGGACTATATACAACTGAAAACTCACACCCCAGAAGTGACTCGAACCCATACTCCCACAACTGGTATGTACAGGGACGCCTTAATCCGCTTGACCATCACGACCGGACATAAGGAAGTGATAGCCGAGGCTATATGAACCACTTCCCCGCCGGCACTCGGATGGTAATCTTGGGCATAGCATTTTATCAAATCACCTCATTCTTTGGGGCACACGTGAGGAACACAAATGCAAACAAGCCTGAATGGTCCCCAGGACTATATACAACTGAAAACTCACACCCCAGAAGTGACTCGAACCCATACTCCCACAACTGGTATGTACAGGGACGCCTTAATCCGCTTGACCATCACGACCGGACATAAGGAAGTGATAGCCGAGGCTATATGAACCACTTCCCCGCCGGCACTCGGATGGTAATCTTGGGCATAGCATTTTATCAAATCACCTCATTCTTTGGGGCACACGTGAGGAACACAAATGCAAACAAGCCTGAATGGTCCCCAGGACTATATACAACTGAAAACTCACACCCCAGAAGTGACTCGAACCCATACTCCCACAACTGGTATGTACAGGGACGCCTTAATCCGCTTGACCATCACGACCGGACATAAGGAAGTGATAGCCGAGGCTATATGAACCACTTCCCCGCCGGCACTCGGATGGTAATCTTGGGCATAGCATTTTATCAAATCACCTCATTCTTTGGGGCACACGTGAGGAACACAAATGTAAACAAGCCTGAATGGTCCCCAGGACTATATACAACTGAAAACTCACACCCCAGAAGTGACTCGAACCCATACTCCCACAACTGGTATGTACAGGGACGCCTTAATCCGCTTGACCATCACGACCGGACATAAGGAAGTGATAGCCGAGGCTATATGAACCACTTCCCCGCCGGCACTCGGATGGTAATCTTGGGCATAGCATTTTATCAAATCACCTCATTCTTTGGGGCACACGTGAGGAACACAAATGCAAACAAGCCTGAATGGTCCCCAGGACTATATACAACTGAAAACTCACACCCCAGAAGTGACTCGAACCCATACTCCCACAACTGGTATGTACAGGGACGCCTTAATCCGCTTGACCATCACGACCGGACATAAGGAAGTGATAGCCGAGGCTATATGAACCACTTCCCCGCCGGCACTCGGATGGTAATCTTGGGCATAGCATTTTATCAAATCACCTCATTCTTTGGGGCACACGTGAGGAACACAAATGCAAACAAGCCTGAATGGTCCCCAGGACTATATACAACTGAAAACTCACACCCCAGAAGTGACTCGAACCCATACTCCCACAACTGGTATGTACAGGGACGCCTTAATCCGCTTGACCATCACGACCGGACATAAGGAAGTGATAGCCGAGGCTATATGAACCACTTCCCCGCCGGCACTCGGATGGTAATCTTGGGCATAGCATTTTATCAAATCACCTCATTCTTTGGGGCAGTGAGTTTTCAGTTGTATATAGTCCTGGGGACCATTCAGGCTTGTTTGCATTTGTGTTCCTCACGTGTGCCCCAAAGAATGAGGTGATTTGATAAAATGCTATGCCCAAGATTACCATCCGAGTGCCGGCGGGGAAGTGGTTCATATAGCCTCGGCTATCACTTCCTTATGTCCGGTCGTGATGGTCAAGCGGATTAAGGCGTCCCTGTACATACCAGTTGTGGGAGTATGGGTTCGAGTCACTTCTGGGGTGTGAGTTTTCAGTTGTATATAGTCCTGGGGACCATTCAGGCTTGTTTGCATTTGTGTTCCTCACGTGTGCCCCAAAGAATGAGGTGATTTGATAAAATGCTATGCCCAAGATTACCATCCGAGTGCCGGCGGGGAAGTGGTTCATATAGCCTCGGCTATCACTTCCTTATGTCCGGTCGTGATGGTCAAGCGGATTAAGGCGTCCCTGTACATACCAGTTGTGGGAGTATGGGTTCGAGTCACTTCTGGGGTGTGAGTTTTCAGTTGTATATAGTCCTGGGGACCATTCAGGCTTGTTTGCATTTGTGTTCCTCACGTGTGCCCCAAAGAATGAGGTGATTTGATAAAATGCTATGCCCAAGATTACCATCCGAGTGCCGGCGGGGAAGTGGTTCATATAGCCTCGGCTATCACTTCCTTATGTCCGGTCGTGATGGTCAAGCGGATTAAGGCGTCCCTGTACATACCAGTTGTGGGAGTATGGGTTCGAGTCACTTCTGGGGTGTGAGTTTTCAGTTGTATATAGTCCTGGGGACCATTCAGGCTTGTTTGCATTTGTGTTCCTCACGTGTGCCCCAAAGAATGAGGTGATTTGATAAAATGCTATGCCCAAGATTACCATCCGAGTGCCGGCGGGGAAGTGGTTCATATAGCCTCGGCTATCACTTCCTTATGTCCGGTCGTGATGGTCAAGCGGATTAAGGCGTCCCTGTACATACCAGTTGTGGGAGTATGGGTTCGAGTCACTTCTGGGGTGTGAGTTTTCAGTTGTATATAGTCCTGGGGACCATTCAGGCTTGTTTGCATTTGTGTTCCTCACGTGTGCCCCAAAGAATGAGGTGATTTGATAAAATGCTATGCCCAAGATTACCATCCGAGTGCCGGCGGGGAAGTGGTTCATATAGCCTCGGCTATCACTTCCTTATGTCCGGTCGTGATGGTCAAGCGGATTAAGGCGTCCCTGTACATACCAGTTGTGGGAGTATGGGTTCGAGTCACTTCTGGGGTGTGAGTTTTCAGTTGTATATAGTCCTGGGGACCATTCAGGCTTGTTTGCATTTGTGTTCCTCACGTGTGCCCCAAAGAATGAGGTGATTTGATAAAATGCTATGCCCAAGATTACCATCCGAGTGCCGGCGGGGAAGTGGTTCATATAGCCTCGGCTATCACTTCCTTATGTCCGGTCGTGATGGTCAAGCGGATTAAGGCGTCCCTGTACATACCAGTTGTGGGAGTATGGGTTCGAGTCACTTCTGGGGTGTGAGTTTTCAGTTGTATATAGTCCTGGGGACCATTCAGGCTTGTTTGCATTTGTGTTCCTCACGTGTGCCCCAAAGAATGAGGTGATTTGATAAAATGCTATGCCCAAGATTACCATCCGAGTGCCGGCGGGGAAGTGGTTCATATAGCCTCGGCTATCACTTCCTTATGTCCGGTCGTGATGGTCAAGCGGATTAAGGCGTCCCTGTACATACCAGTTGTGGGAGTATGGGTTCGAGTCACTTCTGGGGTGTGAGTTTTCAGTTGTATATAGTCCTGGGGACCATTCAGGCTTGTTTGCATATATATATATATATATGTAACAACAGCCTTAATGTGAGCCCCGGTATGTACAAGTTGGATCCCTATTTAAGCCTCAATATAGCACGTCAAAACAATATAGCAATCATTTAAACACGTATGGCACTTGGAGATATTAAAAGGAGCTGCCTTGTATGGGCCAATAGGCCTTCTGCAGTTACCTTCTTTCTTATAATTCCTTTCCTCCACTTATTTTTGGTGGTCAGGTGATCTGCCCAGGCGGATATAAAGGTCTGATCAGCAAACTTATCTTCATTCTACTTTGCTCTGATGAAGGCGAATTAGCCGAAAACGCGTTAAGCATTTTCTATTTTTCATATGTGGTTATTCTGCATACTTGGATCAGTGTTTTTGTGATCATTGTTGCATATATATATATATATATATATATATATATATATATATATATATATATATATATATATATATATATATATATATTAAGCGTAAACAAGACACAAACGATGCCTAACTATCAGGCAAACAGCCACATTAAGCTAAATTTCCATACTCAGGATAATTATATTACCGTTGGGAGGAGAAGTCAAACTAGCAGTGCTGGATCATACTGTTTCATTATTATTATATTTTTGTATATATTCAAAAGAAACTTTTATATTAGTGAAACGACGTGAGGGGTTAGCTGGCTGTATTTGGGTCGTTTATCAAGTGCAAATTGTCGGACTAGTTATCCAGTGACTGGGTGCACTGACGCCCACAGTGTACCTCCAGTGATACACACACACACACACACACACACACACACACACACACACACACACACACACACACACACACACACACACACACACATACCCGAGCTAAGAGGTATGAGCTACGAGGAGAGACTACGGGAATTAAACCTCACTTCGTTAGAAGACAGAAGAGTTAGGGGGGACATGATCACCACATTCAAGATTCTGAAGGGAATTGATAGGGTAGATAAAGACAGGTTATTTAAGACAAGGGGCCCACGCACAAGGGGACACAGGTGGAAACTGAGTGCCCAAATGAGCCACAGAGATATTAGAAAGAACGTTTTTAGTGTCAGAGTG